CTCCACATGCGCCGATCATCAGCTGCCTGAGATGGTTGTGGAGGGGAGGGAGGTGTTGTGTGTGGTGTGTGTGGGGGGGTGTGAGATCAGAGCAAAGCCGGCCACTTTGTGCTCGCGAGTGGTGACCTATCCCCCGGCGTGAGTGACGCCGGACATCAAAAACTCCCGAAGCGCAACGGGCGAAGGTCAGCGGAGCTCCGTTGGGTAACCCGCACCACGCTCACCCCACGGAGCTCACCGCTCACCACCCCCCCCCCCATCGCTCACCACCGCTACCCATTCCGCGTGGACACCACAGCCACTTTAAACATTTGAGATGCGCACAAAGCGGACCGTCGTCGGCCCCGTTGCTCGGCTATGTCGTCACAACACAAGTTGTACTGCACCGCGTTTCCCAACGTCTATGCTCCCCCCCCCCCACCGAGCATGCCTTTTTGCCAGCCCGCTCCGCAGACGCAGCCCACGTGGTGAAACGATTTGTCGAGCAAGGCCCTAAAAACACGAGGCTCATTTCATCCAGCAGTGGAGGTTGTGCGACTGACGGGGTGGTTTGAATGTGCACACGTCGATTTAAAAAGCACGTGGCGATGTCGCAACCTGTCGATGGTGTGGAGGAGACGATACCCACCGGCGAGACACAGCAGCAGCAGCGTCTTACTCTTGTTGGCGTGAATGCCAAGGCGGACGAGGTTATAAATATAATAAACAAATTATGTCGGTGGTGATGATGATGCTGATGCTGCGTTGGCGGTGACACACGAGCAGAGACGGCGACGATAACGCGTTCGTGAGTAATAACATCGTGGCCTTGAAATGTGTGCATATGTGACAGGCGACGTTTCGGGTAATGGCCCGAATTCAGAGCACATTCATTAATGTGTTTAAAAAAATAAACCCTTAACAGTGGCCTTAACGTAAAAATAATATATAATTTAACACGTAGGCGTTTGCAACCAATATTATTATTATTAGTGATATATGCATAAAACATAACAGGCGACGTTTTGGGTAATACCCATCTTCGTAGCACGTACAATAGCAATGTTGTGCTATGGAGGGTCATTGCCCGAATCGTCGGCCGTTATATATTTTTAATTCGAGGCCACACACACACGCAGTGCTCGTATCGCAGCCCGTTGCGTGTTGTTGTTGCTGTTAAATGATCGCACGTCAACAAGTGTGAGTGTACACACACACCGTATTTCACGAGACCTCACCACCACCACCACCCATCATCATCATCCACCACAGCAGCCTCTCGTGTCCCGTCGCAGCGCCGGCCTCGTGCGCCCGCCTCGCCCCAGCGTCGACCGCCGCGCGTTCTCGACGGTCGCGAATGATGACGGGCGGGGAGGGGGGGGGCACCAACAACAGCCGAGAGAGACGCGCGCCCCGTTTACCTTCTGTGAGAGGAGCAGGAGAGCGGGCAGGGGGGGTAATGTGGAAGATGCTTTGCCTTGCTCAGCAGCTCGACACGGCGGCTGCCCACACCAGACGGTCTCGCGTGACAACTCGCTGGGCCACCACCCTCCTCTCTCTCTCTCTCTGCCAGCTTCCCCGACCACCTCGATTTGTGTTGCCTCGTCGGCTCGAGCAGCACCCCCCTCTTCCCGTTCGGTTTGCGCCCACGGTGATGATGCCCGCTGACGACGACTACCGGCTGGTAGCCACTTCGCTGCTGGTAGCTGCCAGGGATAACGCAGGGGACTGTCCCGTCTGTCACCGGCTAGTCACGCTCGCCCGTCTCCATCGTACGCGCTCAACGGGGGCTTGCCACTTGCTGCCGCCACCGGCGATCGTCAGATCGTCCACGCGGCCGGCCGGCCTTTGGGGATTTCGAAAAAAATGAAACGCTGCCGTCTTGTATACAAGCCCGACTTACACTCGGCTGGGTCCGTCTCCCGGCAGGTAAATTCGTGTGACAGCAGCTGGCGCAGGTAAATTCGCCGACGGACGCTTGGGCTATCAAAGCAAGCGACCAACAGACCTCGCTGCGTTCCCCGCGACTCGCCGGCCCTAACGCTGCCACCGTGCTTCTGAACCGCTGGCCGACTCGGCCATCATCAATCTTTCCCGGCCCGAACCTGCCCACTGCCACGATCTTCCTTCACGCCGTCTCTGGCCGTCAGCCAGCGTCCCCACCACCACCGCCGCCGCCGCCTCTCTCGGTGGCCGCTGACCGTCACAATCCCTCGGTGTTGGCCGCAAATCGCCGGCAGCCAAAAGCTTGGCCCTCCCCCCTCCCCCCCCCGTCACAAATCGTCCGCCGCCACTTGACCCGACAGCCGTGAGCTCTGTTGCTGCTGCTGCTGCTGACGACGACGACGTTGGCCTCGACTGCCACCAACCTGGACGATGCCTGGCGGTCGCTATCCGGTCCCCCGACTGCCACCCAAGCTGTATTATTATTATAGCAGGCTACCACATTCAACGGGGAGAGAGAGAATCCCCGTGCCCGTCTGTCAACCAGCCATCAGCAGCTGCCACGACCTGGCCGTGTTGTACGGCAGCAGCCATCGGATCTCCCTTCCTATCTCTCTCCCGATCTCGCACACCCACACACACTGTGCGCACGCCTCTCAGCGGATGTTTCGTGGACGCTACGACACCACCACCACCACCATCATCACAACCGCGCAGGAGCTGGCTACATCGTACACGGACGGGCTGCAATGAACAAAGCGGATCGCACGCCGGGCCAGACCCTGCCAGGGGGGGGGGGGGGGGCAGGGGGGGGGGCTTGGCTGGGGCTGTTCGCAGCAAACGGACGAGGGGGGGGGTGGGGATAGGGAGGGGAGAGAGAGGATCAATCCGGCACCTTCGCTGCACGGCAAACAGCAGCAGCAGCTGCTGCGGCTGCATCAGCGTCTCCACGCTGCCAGTGGTGACGACGACGACGACGGGGCGACAGCGACGCCTGCGCGATGCCGCGGAGTCGTCGGAAGGAAACGGAGAATAATGCGGGCGGACAAGAGGAGGGCGGACGGCGGGGGGACATCGTCTCGCTCTCTCCCTCTTGCCCGTGGCGCGCTCATCCCCGTGTTGTGAAGCGGCCAACGCGGGGCAAACCACAGCCCCGATGGGGGCGGTGGTGGTGGAGGTGGTGGAAAAGGAACTGCGCTACGAACCCGGCAACGCAGTTTGATTCGCGCTCAATGTCCAACGCCAGTGACGATTATCTGACCCCTGATCATGGGCCTTCCCTAGGTCGACTCGGCCTCAAATGAGTACCCGGCGCGCTGTGTAAACATCGCCACTGGGGAGACCGGTCGTGGTGCTGGCCACCCTCGTGTGCCGTGCCCGCCTTCATAGGTGCTCGCTAACCAGCACTTGCCCCGACAGTCTGTTTAGGCTGTACGGGGAATCTTTGTCTTTGGTGTCTATGAAATTGAGGCACAACGGTTCGCGAGCGTCTCCATGACGAGCGGAGCTATATGGCAAAGCGTAATCCTTTAACACAAATATAAAGCCCCTCCGCCCATATAGCATCAATAGACTGTTAGGGCAAGTGCTGTTAACGAGCACCTATGAAGGCCGGCATTGCACACGAGGTGGTGGGTGGTTAGCACCGCGCACACATGTCAATGCAGGGTGAGACCAACCACCCGTGTTATATAGACACCCCGTGCTATAACACATGATGTTGACATGACACGGACGTGTGTTGCTGCTCAGGCTTGGGAGGTGTGGGATTTATCGGCGTAAGGCACTTCCACTAAAGTACCAGCTATGCCTATCCATAACAATCCTATATTATTGTATCCTGTACCCTATATTCCTATAGTACTGTGAACAGGTGTGCAAACAACCTGTTCATAGAATGGATTGTGGCCCAGCCAAAATAATTCCCGGAAGGCGGTTTCGTTTCGGCCGAAATGAAGCACCGTGCGTGACGAACACAAACTCAACATCCGTCAACATAACACGGCCCTTAAAGCGGAAACCTTAAACTGAACTACTTTATTTTACCAGGTAAAGCTCACCGAGCTATGTATAGCGCTTTATCAGAGGCGACCTGGCCACAAATGATAGCTCAACAAAGTGGCTTATCATGTAGAAATTATAGCAGTCACATAATTTAAACGCGTTTGTAAAATGTGGAGAGTAATACCGGATGACCCGGATAAAAATCCACACGACCAGGCGAGGGCGATAACATCTCGCCACCACGATAGGCGACGTTTCGGGCAATGGCTCATCATAGCAGAAAATCGCAACGCAGATCTCAGTGCAACCGACTTAGACGTTGAGTTTTCACGAACATATGAAGGTGTACCCTCGTGGTAGTGCCTTACACCAAAAATCCCAACTCCAAGCCAGCCCCAGCATCCTTCTGGCAAAATAACGAGTATGTAATTAACCCCCAGGGCGTAAAACTCGGTGTGGTTGACAATGTATCTACATATTTTGTACTAATCTATCATTTAGGCTAATTACGCAACAAAAACAATACAAGCTAGAGATCTTAAATCGGAATACAGCCACGGATCGTGACAATGGGATTGCGCGTGGATTGCTACATTAACGATCCACGTGCATACGGTACTACTTTACACATGTTCTTCATTTAAAACTAGGCAAGGGCTCACCGAGACATGTCACTTTTGCTACATACGTCCAAATTATAATGTGTTCCAGTGAAAGCTGATCAAACATAATATTGATTTCTTTATCGATTTAAAAAAAAAAATCTGACCGGGTCTCCAGATTTGTTTGAAAGAATGATCGTGCATTGGGACGTTTTGACAGCGCCATAAAAAAACGTTTGGAGAGTAAACCAGAGCACAAGAGACAGTGCGGCAGATGCCACCGTTGAATTTTCTTTGCTCCGGAGGTCTCCAGAGTTGCGAAATGTTGGGCCACCCAATCAGCCGTGGCCTGACAAGGTAGCCGTGTGTGCGCTTGCAAACAGCGACATGTGCCGTCCCTGTTAAACAGCGGCAAATTGAAAGCAAGCAAATCCGCCTGTGCGCGACATCTCACAAGGGGCGCGACTTCACTTCGATTTAAACTTTTTATTGAGCTGGCAGTATTTTGTGGCTCTTTAAAGAAACCAGCGTAAGGCTCATTTAAGCGTGAACAGCAAAACTCGCAAATCCCGCACGACCTCCCACCACAAACAACTTTGCCGCCTGCATATGCTTTTGTGTTTCCCATTGTGAACAGTAGATAATAGTGAGGTGGTGAGGAGATGTGGTCTCCCTTCGCCTAGTACGCAGGAAGTGCGCGAGTTCGATCCCGGACCCTGACGATGCCTGGTCGCTCTCCCCCCCCCCCCGTGGCGGTCACGTGGATTGTTCTCCGGTTTTCCTCCGGTGTTTCCCTCCACATTTTAGAAACATGCATTGATATTATTTGGCTGCAACTGTAACTTCCCACACATTATGATAGAAGCTACTTCACGTGTTGGCGAGGTCACCTCTGAAAAAGCGCTCATAGCTCAGTGGGCTTTTTACCTGGTCAATGAAATAGTTGTTTATTTTGTTTGTTACACAGGTGATGACAACACCAAGACAGGTAATTTATTTAAGCGCCTAGCACGAAGTTGCAAGGCAACAAAGTTGAATAACAATCAACACAAAGTGATTACAGGGGTCCTTTATCCTAACCCCACATATCATAAATGTATCTCAATTACAACGCAGGTCGCCACCGTGCATGTTGTGAATGTATTCAAGTATCTGTGTAGTGCTATTTTATACCGTTACTAAATCACAACAGATGTGCTTAAAGTTCCACGTCACATCTTTCGGCATATTGCGTCTTGTTTAACGTGTTCCCATAAATCTGCCGTTTCAAAACAAGACGGCTGTAAAAATGCACGGTGGAAATGCCGATTTTAAATTGAAGCAAGCAAAGCCGTGACAACAATGGCACCAAACACATAAGTTAAGCAGATTTAGCCAATAGCTTTAAAAAGGGACAATTTTTTTAACATTTTCCCCGAGCTGTAACATTTCCCCACTTTTTAGTTTTAATGAGATTTTCTCATCCTACCGTTTTTTTTTTTAGACCTCACAAATTGTATTCCTCGAACCAAGAACAAACACACCGGTTCATCGCCACCCTCCACTCTGCCACCTCGAAGAGGAACATTTATTGGGTCGCGTGTGTTTTTGTGAGCAAGTGGGACCACGGCACCAGCACGGCACGTTCACGCAGCGCACAGAGAAACCTGACGAGAGAGGGGAGGGGGGGAAAAAACGTCAGAGTTAAACACCGACATTCATTACACACTTCATATAAACCAAACTATTTTTGACACGTAGGCTTTCGCGACCGATATTATTTGTAAGAAAGGTTTTTTTTTGTGGTTATATCGCGCAAATATAAACTATTCTGGGAAAAATCGCCCGATGATGCTGGATGTTATTACCAGCGAAACGTCACTCAAATTGTAAAGGTTGTGTATTTACTCTCCACCACACCGGTTGGTTGAAGTAGTAACTAATTGGAACGTTTTGTGTATGCGAAAAACCTTACTGGTTGGCTGTGTCGGGTGGTGGCGGGTTAACGACACATTTATTATCAATAAACTATTTTTATTTTACCAGTTAAGACCCACTGAGCTAAATAGATCTTTTTCAGAAGCGACCTGGCCATAAATGATAGCTCAACAAAGTGGCTTATCATGAGGAAATTTATAGCAGCCAAATACTCCAGAGACATGTTTCTAAATGTGGAGGAAAAAAACGGAGGCGCTGGAGAAAAATCCACACGACCATGGGGAAAACATGCAAAACTCGAAATATACAGGCATCGTCAGGGTCAGAATCCAACCCACGACCTCTTGTATACCAAGCGAAGGAGTTAACATCTCGTCAGAGCGGCTGAAAAAAAACACGAAATTCCATGCGTTTGCAGCTACTTATAAACCAAGTGCAGTTTTTCTGTGTTGGGGTTCTGCGTTGAACGTAAAAAAAATAATTCTCCTCTCGATCTTTTACCATGCGCAGCTGCAGGCATCTGTTACAACTCCTGCAGACGCCTCGTGCAGCCCCCCCAAGCAGGAAAACATGTGCTTGGCACCCGGCACGCGCGTATGTTTAACAGAAAAATAAAGTTGGCAGGGGGAGGGGTGTGGTAACAGGAGCAGCAGTTCGTGACAGTAACCTTAGAAGAGTCCGTCGATTTTCCCCGTGGCCACGTCGATGTCGATGTCATAGAAGCACGGCCTTGTGGGTAGCCCTGGCATGGTCATCATCTGAACAAGAGAAAAACTAGCTACGTCTAAGAACATTGCCGCCCACCGCCTGAACACAGACGAGGTAACCTCCCCCCCCGTGCGAATGTCGCTGGGTTTACAGGAACACCTCCGATTAGCACGTTTGGAAACACATATGGTGACAAAGGTCAGCGTACATACATACAAGAGGAATGATGACTAGTGGAAATGTTAGCGTGATAAAAATGCCCCCCCGCCCCTCGATTTATTCAGTTGAGGCGAGCAGCTTGCCTTCTTTCAAAACAGAAATGCCTTTTTTTAACGGGCCCATCAGCTAATTGTAGCGTACACTTTAATATAAACTGATGTTGTATATTACGTGTTTTTTCAGTGAGGCACTGATCAGACCAGTCTGTGATTGGATTGGATTTGTCACACGGACCTCATATCCCCGTGCCATTCATGAAACTGTGTTCTAAATGCATATATAGCAAGCACATTTAAAATACGTACCCATATGTAATCATCCTATCAACTTTGGATTTTTTTTAACCAAATTTAATTCCCCCCCCCCACCCCCCCCTAAAAAAAACAACTTTATTTTGAAATCATGTTAACACTGATAATGTAACGAATTGTAAATGTTTAAGCTCATGAATTACGAGCTCATGATACACTTAACATTATGCACATGATAATCTAGATTCACTAATTCTGCGAATTATTCGCGAGCATACAGGCCAACGCAGAGGTCACGAACCGATGACCAGTGGGCCGGGTAAGGCCTGTCACTTCATTTCATAACGGCCCATGGCCACACAAGGCCTACCACATCGATATGGCCCAAAAACGATATTCATCCATCACCGCAAACACCTTAAGCTGCACGAATAAAGTACCAGAGGGGAATATTTTCAACCTAACACACATCACTCTGTTCGCATTATGGCGTTCTCTGGTCTGACACTGGTGAGACTAGGCCCTAAAGAAGGCTGAAGGCCGTTTCTGGTGGAGGCCAATCAGTTTCAAAGACAACGCATATATTATCAGAACATGTTTGTTTGCATATTCACCAGAAGTACGTGTGTTGATGCAGATTTGATTCCTTGCCAAAAGGTATCTATATGGCGTTTGAACATCTTAACACCTCCTGTTTTATTGCCAGAAAGGGTCAAATCTATTCTTATGTTTTCATAAAGGGCAATAGGCCCTTGATGTGATTGATCGAGGCGTGCGTTCATGTGTAGTTGCCTTCAAAAGGTGCTCGCTAACCAGCAAATGCCCCAAAATTCTGTTCAGGCTATACGGGGTGGGGGGGGGATCTTAGTCTTTGTGCGCTCACCGTGCCGACGAGCGGGTAGAGGAAGCCGGCCCCAACGCTGGCACGCACGTCACGAATGGGCAGCACGAACCCCTTGGGGACGCCCTTCAGCTCGGGCTGATGAGACAGCGACAGATGCGTCTTGGCCATGCAGATGGGCAGTCCGGCAAAGCCCTGGGGAAACACAAAAACGAAGATCACTCGTGTAGCCTTAACAGACTTGTAGCGGCAAGTGCTGTTAGAGTAGTGCCTGCGAAGGTCGGCACAGCGCACGAGGGGGTGCGTGGCCAACACCACGGCCGGCGGCCTTTGTCTCCCCGGGTGGCGATGTTCACACACCGCTACACCAGGTACTCATTTCAGGCTGAGTCGACCGAAGGGATGCCCAGGACCGGTTCAGATAATCGTCACCGTTGTTCTCTGTGAGGGGGAATCGAACGCTGGTTGCCGGGTTCATAGTGCAGGGAACTAACCGCTCCACTACCGCTATACTACCGCACACACAGACAAGAAGACACGAACATATTAAAAACAGGGAAGAAAAATCATCCATATGCATGGGCTCTATGATGGTTACCAATGGGCGTTTGCCATTGGAACTATTTAACGAGCAATAATATCGTTAGGCTTCAAGCAGCGCAACAAGATAACGTCACACTGCGGGTGATGTGTGACGTCGCAAGATGACAGACAGACAGCCGAAGGAAAAGAAACCTGGACTTGAACAAGCAGGGGAATTGGCAATGCAGCCAGATATGAATTGCCTGTCTCACTGTACACATTAACACATGCACATGCTAGCCCACGAGCTGTACCCACAGAACACATGCACATGCTAGCCCACGAGCTGTACCCACAGTACACATGCACGCTAACCCACCAGCTGTGCACGCAGTGCACATTGCACCACCAGCTGTACACACGGTGAACATGCACCACCAGCTGTACACACGGTGAACATGCACCACCAGCTGTACACACGGTGAACATGCACCACCAGCTGTACACACGGTGAACATGCACCACCAGCTGTACACACGGTGAACATGCACCACCAGCTGTACATACAGTACACATGCACCACGATCTGTACACACGGTGAACATGCACCACCAGCTGTACACGGTACACATGCACCACCAGCTGTACACACGGTGAACATGCACCACCAGCTGTGCACACGGTGAACATGCACCACCATCTGTACACACGGTGAACATGCACCACCAGCTGTACACACGGTGAACATGCACCACTAGCTGTACACAAGGTGAACATGCACCACCATCTGTACACACGGTGAACATGCACCACCAGCTGTACACACGGTGAACATGCACCACCAGCTGTACACACGGTGAACATGCACCACCAGCTGTACACACGGTGAACATGCACCACCAGCTGTACACACGGTGAACATGCACCACCAGCTGTACACAAGGTGAACATGCACCACCAGCTGTACACACGGTGAACATGCACCACCAGCTGTACACACGGTGAACATGCACCACCAGCTGTACACACGGTGAACATGCACCACCAGCTGTACACACGGTGAACATGCACCACTAGCTGTACACAAGGTGAACATGCACCACCAGCTGTACACACGGTGAACATGCACCACCAGCTGTACACACGGTGAACATGCACCACCAGCTGTGCACACGGTACACATGCACCACCAGCTGTGCACACGGTGAACATGCACCACCAGCTGTACACACGGTGAACATGCACCACCAGCTGTACACACGGTGAACATGCACCACCAGCTGTACACACGGTGAACATGCACCACCAGCTGTACACACGGTGAACATGCACCACCAGCTGTACACACGGTGAACATGCACCACCAGCTGTACACATGGTGAACATGCACCACCAGCTGTACACACGGTACACATGCACCACCAGCTGTACACACGGTACACATGCACCACCAGCTGTACACACGGTACACATGCACCACCAGCTGTACACACTGTGAACATGCACCACCAGCTGTACACACTGTGAACATGCACCACCAGCTGTACACACGGTGAACATGCACCACTAGCTGTACACAAGGTGAACATGCACCACCAGCTGTACACACGGTGAACATGCACCACCAGCTGTACACACGGTGAACACGCACCACCAGCTGTACACACGGTGAACATGCACCACCAGCTGTACACACGGTGAACATGCACCACCAGCTGTACACACGGTACACATGCACCACCAGCTGTACACACGGTGAACATGCACCACCAGCTGTACACACGGTACACATGCACCACCAGCTGTACACACGGTGATCATGCACCACCAGCTGTACATACGGTACACATGCACCACCAGCTGTACACACGGTGAACATGCACCACCAGCTGTACACACGGTGAACATGCACCACCAGCTGTACACACGGTGAACATGCACCACTAGCTGTACACAAGGTGAACATGCACCACCAGCTGTACACACGGTGAACATGCACCACCAGCTGTACACACGGTGAACATGCACCACCAGCTGTACACATGGTGAACATGCACCACCAGCTGTACACACGATGAACACGCACCACCAGCTGTACACACGGTGAACATGCACCACCAGCTGTACACACGGTGAACATGCACCACCAGCTGTACACACGGTACACATGCACGCTAGCCATACCCTACCTGCTTAGTGTAGAGCTCGATCTTCCGGCGAGCCTCCTCCGAGAGGCAGATGTCGTCTGCGCCGTACACCTTCTGTGCGATGACGCGGATCTTCTCCTCCACGGGCAGCTGCACCAGGCCAGACCCCAACACGCGCTCAATGGGCTCTACCTCGGGAAATTAACTTCCAATTCCGATTCTGCTCAAGTTCACGGAAGTCTCCAGCGCTGTGCTGGAGACGAGGTTTGGCGGATCGCATCGAGATTTGTGCAACTTGCCATCTCCCCGGATTGCGGGAAACGCGAGCGGCGTTTACGGAGTCGGTCCGTGCGCTGGTACCGCGGCGCGCGGGCGGGACCTTACCTGCACGTCGTAGAGGAAGCTGGGGGCGGGCAACGACTGCTGGGCGGCCTGCCGCACGGCCTCGGCGAGCGCCCTGCCTCCCTTGCCGCCCTCGGCCCAGTGGGTGCAGCGCACCACGTCGGAGGCGCCGGCCGCCAGCGCTAACTCCCGCACGACGTTCAGCTCCGCGTCCGTATCAGTGCTGCGATCGCACGTTTCCGACGACAACACCATGCCAAGACCGCGCCCGCTAAAGCGTCATCACTGCCATCGCTGCCAAAGGGGGTCCCACGGTGGCGAAATGTTAACTACCTCGCCTGGTATGCAGGAGGTCGTGGGTTTGATTCCAACCCTGATGCCTGCTGTATATTTGGAGTTTGCATGTCTCTATCCTTGTGGTCGCGCAGATTTTTCTCCTAGGTCCTCCGGTTTTTCCCTCCACATTTAGAATCAACATGCATTTAGACTATTTGTCTACTATAAATTTTCACGTAATAAGCCACTTCGTTGAGCAATAATTTGTGGCCAGGTTCCTTCTGAAAAAGGGCTAGACAGCACAGTGAGCCCTATTTGCTAAAATATAAATAGTTTAGTTAGTGAAGCTAGTTGTAATTACTGGCGAAACGTCATACTCCGTTTGTAAATGTTGTAGCTTGGCTCTCCAACACACCGGTGTGCTGTACTAGTGACGAATTGGCCACGTTCTGTTTACGTGACAACCCTTACTAGTTGGCTGTGTCGGGTGGTGGCGGGTTTTAACGACACATTTATATATTTACGCGATCTAACCCAAACACCTTTATTATGGATTATAGTTTATTTTTGCAATATGAAGTTTAATTTTACAAATTGGATCACTTACTGCCAATGAAGAATGTATGATTCTTACAGATTTATGACGCAGGCAACCCTAAGGCAACATTGTTGAGTGTCAAAAAGACTCAGTCAGCTTCTTTCTGTATATAATGTATTTGCATTAAATTGCCCAGTTTTGCTTTCAAAACGTTCAGCAAGCTGCCAGTTTAGAACAAATAATTGAAATACGTTTTTAAGTTGCTACTGGCATCATGTGCCGAGAATCACGTGTTTTTACAGTCTGCGCTTTGATACAATCCTTCAGGAATAGCTTAGCTACACATATCACATATTCAAAAAAGCTAGTTAGTTAATCAACACAATAAGCACAACTTTATCCTGATCACAAGCAGCATCCGTTTTTTTTGCCAGTAGATATTATAATTGTTATCCATCATACAATACCCAAATAACGCTTCGTCCAATAACGGACACTGATTGAAAAAGACAATAAAGGGGAGTTAGGTATAAGTAATGTTCAGGATTATTTTTTTGCTCATGAGCATCACCTGTAAAAGTACATTCTAGCAAAGGTTAGGAGATGTCTCTTACGTGAACATGTTGACAGCGACGACGACGGGCACACCAAACAGACGAATAATCTCAATGTGCTTGTTAAGGTTGCAACAGCCATTCTTAACCAGCTCTAAATTCTGTTGGGGAAGAAAAAATCAAACTTTAAATTACAATACAAGTCATATTACAAAGCACATCATGTTGCAGATGCACAAGTCTGATATAAGCAACTGAAGTTTACATTGCACTGGTGGAGGAGGGGGAGGGCTACGGGGCAACTTCTGATATGAAAAAGCCACATTCATGTAAAGAACCTTTCAAATAAAAATGTAAGCTCTTTGTCGATGCAGTGCTCAATGAAGGAGTGTCACATGCCACGATGGTCATGGATGTTGTTTGACCGTACTTCACCACGCTGGTTGTTCGACCAGTTCAGTTATCACTTGCCACTTAGGTTTAGGCATGGCAGGGAACTGGTCCTGACCACCCCTAAAGATCTCTTCAGGAATCTAAATAGTCTTTACTCCCTTCTTGAATAGGAGTTATAACAAGTGACCCCTTGAACCGGACTCGCACCAATTCTACAACTGCATACACCGTTCTGTACTCAAGCCCCAGGCCACTGAGTGCACAGCGCCACCACTTCACCATCAACGCCTATAAAAATGCTCAAGGTGACATGTTCCGCTTTGTCTTGGCTGATCTTTACAACGCCCGGCTCTCCTGCGACTCTGCAAAGGCTCCCCCCACCCCTCACCCGCGCTCACCTCCTTGGTGTACTCCTCAGGCAGGGGCTGGCCAGCAGTCACAGTTGGGCCTCCGCCGTGCATCTTGAGGGCCCGCACGGTGACCACCAGCACCGCGGCGTCGGGGTAGAGGCCCGACAGGCGGCACTTGATGTTGAAGAATTTCTCCATTCCGATGTCGGACCCAAAGCCAGCCTCCGTCACTGAGATGTACACATCACCGATCGCCGTTCAACATTCATTCATAGCCATTTGGAATGGTGTCGCTGCTTTCCTCCTACGCCTTCAGTGTGCAACTAAGGAGTTTATAGTCATATCGCATTGTAATGTACAGTATGGGGGCTCTGTGCGAGTCTGTGAGTCTCTATATGCAAATCTCTGGGTCCGAGTCTATGTGAGTCTCCGTAAATCTCCGTAAGTGGAGCTGTTCAATTTGCGATGCCAGTGAAGTGCTATCCATCACACACACACCAGATTATTTTGTATAGTATAGGCCTCCGTGCGAGTCTATGAGTATTAATGTTCATCTCTGCGAGCCTCCTCCATAAGTGGATATTAGGAGTCACCCAATTGTGACTGCGGCGAAATGCAACCCATATTTCACATCACCGATTACTGCCAAACGTGTGTAGAGGAGTAGTGGAATGACGTCATGTCATCTGACGAGTGGGATGACGTGGTGTGATGCCAACATGTCGTCGAGGCAGCGGGGTCATTAAGGGGGACCCCGGGACGAGGGCGGGGTCACCGTGGGGAGAGTGAGGTGGTCGCCATAGGGGAGTCAGATTGAGGGGAACCAGAGCCTGCGTGGAAGACATCCCATCCGCCGCCGAAGAAGGGCTAGAGATGCAGAGGTCTCGCCTCGTCGCCGGGCGGTGATGGGCGAACCCCCGCCCAGGGCAGACGAGGTGCTAGACATAGGGGAAGCTGTACCGGGGCGTAGATAGCTGAGGGATGTCCGCGTAAAGGACAGAGTACTGACGTGCGCCATGACGCGTGTAAGCGTCATGTGACTACACAACACATGTGCTTCTGCAGGAGGTACAAATACAATACATCTGGACGACCCCAGAAGCCAAAGAATGGCTTTCCAAAACCAACATAATGACCAGAATTTGAATTTGACTTTCTGATGGTGAGTTGGGTGCTCGTGCGACATACACATTTGTAAAATCTGTGAATTAGTCACAGCCCCTAAGAAAATGTCATCAACGGAGTAAGGGTTCATTCTAAAAAAAAGGGACCTATGACCTACGGGAATAGCGGCGAGCTTTGGTGAGCTTTGATGACCTTGGTCTATAAAAACCTTAAAGAAAAAAAACACACGACGCAACTTTACTGGGAACTGTGCGCCAGCTGGTGCCTAGCTTGTGAGGGAGAGAAAAACTGGGGTGCGTACCGACAAAGCCCTGCTCTCCCACCAGCTTGAGGGCGATCTTGTCGGCCAGCACCGAGGAGTTGCCGTGGGCGATGTTGGCAAAGGGCCCCGCGTGAACGAACACCGGGCTTCCCTGCGAACACCAGGCCACGGACGCACATGCGTCGTCGGACAAGAGACGCAACCCCACACAAAAAAAACAGTTCTTGCGAATACGCACCTAGCCTGTGTGCCCAGAGCGGTCTTGTACAACTGCCAGTCGTAGCGGTCAGTTAACCCATAGCACCTGTGGCGGGTAGGGGGGGGGGGGGGGAGTCTGCTCCCGTGACCTCCTGGCAGCAAGCCTTTGACACTTCACGTGGCCTTTAAATTGCACCTTAGAACCTGGCACAAGTGCTGCGGTGACATCACCGTCATTTTAGGGTGAATGGCGGCTGTTGTTGTCGTTGTTGTCTGTGACAAGTCTAAAGCTTCTCGAATGAGACATGGTCAAAAGCACCACTGCGGCAGTCTAGTGATCCTCAACGGGCACAGAGCATCCGATCATGATGTCAACATGTTTTTTTCTCACCAACAAAGCTTCAAACTCGTGTCGGGCACGATTAAGAGACTCAAAGTAGCCAACGCGTCAAAAAGTCGAGCGACGCTCGTTTTCTCGTACTGCATCTTCGTTTAAACAAGAAGCGACAGGCGAGCCATCGCCAATAGTCCCATTAGAGGAGTGCTGCGAATGCCGTATTCCGGCAAAGTGGGGGCCTCACCTCCAGTGTCTGCATGAGGTTGGGTTTGATGGCCTCCTTCATGAGCACCGTGAGGGCCCCGCTCACGCCCTGCAACAAAGACAGGCACGCATGGCACAAAGTTCAAGACACCTCCGATTAGCACGGTTGGCTACGTACGGTGCAAAACAAGTTCAACATAAATTTTAAGCTACCACATATCTGGCAGGCTGAGCCACGGCACATGGCCAGCTAGCAGCACGTCTTGCCATGAATACTGATATTGTATAGATTGTACATTGTATCGTGAAAACGCACATCATCTTGCGTCGTGAAAACTTTTTATCGTATAAATTTACATTGCATCGTGAAAACGTACATCATGTTATATCGTGAAATTTAAACATCGCATAAACTTACACTGTATTGTGAAAACGCACATTATGTTGTAGCACGACATTTTATTTCATATAAACTTACATTGTATTGTGAAAACGTACATCATGTCATCTCGTGAAATTTGACATCGTATCCGTTTTAAAATCAGACTGCGGCTCCCCTACGTACCAGGTCCTCTGCGGTGACGGGCTCCCCCCCGATGCGGCTCGTCGCCACCACCATGCGGGCCAGACGCTCGCGCATGTCGCCCAGGCTGGTGGCGAGAGCCAGGATCGCCATGATCTCACTCGACACCGCGATGTCGAACTGGGTCTGCGGCAGGAGCGGAAGACGCGCATAAAAGGACACGAGCTGTTAACTCCCTCGCCTAGTATGCAGGATGTCGTGAGTTCAATCCCGACCCTGCCGTCTGTATATTTGATGTTTGCATGTTCTCCCCGTGGTCAGATGGATTTTTCTCCAGGTCCACCGGTTTTTCCCTTTACATTTACAAACATGCGTTTGGAGTATGTGGCTGCTGTACATTTCCACACGATAAGCCACTTCACCGAGCTATAATTTGTGGCTAGGTCGCTTCTGAAAAATAGCTATATAGCTCAGTGGGCCTTACCTGGTAAAATAGTTTAGTTTACAGTTTTAGTTAGGCTGAAAGAGCCACACCCAGCAGCCTAGGAAAACGAAGCTGTGGTCGACAAACCGTTAGCAAGGCAATAACGTTGCTTTAAGCTCGTACATACGTACGTACCTCCCGAACCATCCCATTCTCTGTCGGAGCCTTTCCAATTGTGATCTTGCGCAGAAAGCGATCATTGGTGTCCATCACTAAAAAAAAAACATACTTATAGTAAAGATTGTACTACGATCCAGAGATTATAAACTCATACTCTTTGATTTTATTCGGTAAAGTCACGTAGGTAAAATAAAATAAAATATTAAATCACGACGTTTCTGAGGCAACACAAGCTTTCGTCTTCAGTTGGAACAATCACAGTAGAAAATCTGTGTCAAGTACACAGCTCTGAGACGATCGGGTTTATATATAGGTTAAAGCGGGGGGAGGAGCCAGAAAGGAAACGTGGGTGGGTGGGAGGGCTTACCCACCCACGGGGCGGCTCAACTCGGCCCTCCCACCCACCCACCCACGTTTCCTTTCTGGCTCCTCCCCCCCCCTTAACCTATATATGAACCCGATCGTCTCAAAGCTGTGTACTTGACGCAGATTTTCTACTGTGATTGTTCCACCTGAAGACGGAAGCTTGTGTTGCCTCCGAAACGTCGTTATTTAATTGGTTCTTTTATTTTATTTGACCTTCGTGACTTTACCGAATAAAACCAAAGAGTATGAATCCTTGCAGTCACGAAAGCTTCAAATCTAGAATTATAAACCCACTTAGCAAGAAGAAATATGTTAAACTAAAGCTATCAAATGTCCGAGGTTGGCTGGGACAGTCCCGGGTTTCAGAAAGGCTATCCCGGTGTTCTAAAGCGTTTTACAAGGTCAGAATGTAGTCCTGCTTCACATTTGTACAGCTCCACGCTCGACTCATTATCCCACCACGTGTCCTTGTGTTGAGCCTCTGAGAAATGTGGTAGCTTTATGTTAAACGCATCTACGATTTAAACTTCATAGAGATGTTACCAAAATTTCTACAGTATTTTTAGTATGCTCATAATTTCACATTTTTAGTATGAAATAAATGTAATAAAAACATTCAACCATTATTCATTGCAATAATTGTTCACCAAATTAGCATGGTATGTTAAACTACAATTAAACAACTATAAATATATTATTGTGCAAAATCATAACACTAAGATGTGGAGTGGCAATCAAAAATACATTTACATAAGATGTTGAGGCAGCATCACTAACTGCACTAACAGAAGTTTCCAACCCTTTACTGCACCATATTCTCTGGATTATATGACCCTTCCAAAAGCTAGACACACCCAAAATGTGTGTCGAGTGTCAAAAGCTGGGCACTAATCTGGTCACACACACACACGTAGGTACAGGATAATAAGACGCGCCACCAATTTTTGCATTCAAATTCACGGGGGGAGGTGGGGGATAAACAATTCTCATAATCTGGATAATACGGGGTACACTTTGTGATGCCATCTCGTCCGATCTTTGTTACTGCTGTATTTTGTTCAGTAATCGTCAAGATCTGTGCGTGCTGGATGACGGCGGATCTGTGTTTTGTTTTTATTACCTCTATTCCACGTTATCGAGTTAGGATCGATGTCAAGGCGTGCAAATCGTTTGATCTCCTCATCCGTGAGTGTATTCGGATCCGATTTATCTATTTTCAGTTTCTGTAAACACACACAACAAGACAAAAGTTTCCCCGCATGGCCATAGAGACTGTTGGGGAAAATAGAGTGCTGTTAGTCAGCAGCTGTTAATCCTGGCATGAATGCAGCATCACTTAAGTGATGCGGACACACCAGACTTAGAGCTAGGAATCTCGCATAGTCAAACCAATGGGAAGCGCAGGACATGTTCAGACAGAACTTGTCACTGGTGTTCACCATGGCCAAACATACAAGTACACACACACACACAAACTAACCAATACGTTTAATTTACCAACGGATACATGTTTATTTATGCACGGTACCAATTTTACTGAATGTCTCTTAACTTCAAATGTGGGAAATATAGCACCATCTCGACAGAATGTCACTCAACCTAAATAAACATTGTTGCCAGAAACTTACACATTTTCATCACACTCTGAATTAGTTCATTCCTAGCATTCACACAATGTGTTTAATTCCATTTCCCCCAGCACTCATTTTCCATGCAAAACTCGAGAGATGCATCATTTGTTCTTTCACAGAAGCTACACACGCACTACGTAACGTTGGAATAAGCACGGAATATAATGGATGTACTTTCTTACCTTCAGTCGCGCTTGCTGAATTGGAGAGAAGGCTCTACTCCCTTTTTGCAAAGGCACCAGACGTGCAAAGAGGGCCTTTGAAGAAAACACGTGTGGATGAAATGGCAGAGGAGATCAAAGCCACCTTTAGAAGGAGACGAGTAGCTACTGCATCTGATTAACGTTCATTTAGCAGCATGCATAAAGGTAAATAAATCTATGTTTGACATATTTACTGTGTTTGGTAAATACCATGTCTTGTTTCTGCTAAGGTACTGTATTTAAATGTTTTACTTGTGTTCCTACTCTGGAATAACAATTCATTTAGGTACTTCCGTACTGCGGAAGCAATCTGTGCAGATGAAATACTCCTTAAGACACAGATACTTTGGAAAGCATTACACTCCATAATAACCCACACATACATGCATTCCATGCCTTTTCCTAACTTGTTGAAGCATTAACTACGGAGTATAAAAGATCGCTGAATATATAGGCAGCAAGGCCTGCTGATAGGTCGCCCAACCCCCTCGCCCTCTGCCATCCCTCGCCTTCCCCCACGCGCGTGCTCACCTTGTCCGTCTGCGTGCTCTCGTGGAAGATGCGAGCGTCGATGGCGGCGGCCAGCAGGTTGTTGGACGCGGTGATGGCGTGGATGTCGCCCGTCAGGTGCAGGTTGAACTGTGGACGAGACAGCGAGTGAGCTGGCGGGCGGGCGACGTGAATACAATAATTTAAATCCTGGCCAATTATCTCTTCACCCCCCTCACTTGAAATAGTCGCTACACCCTCACCCAGATAGCATTGGAATATCCAATCAGTAATTGTCCTCCAACGTTTCTCCTTGTCCTTCAAGGGGCGCCACGGTGGAGAGGTGTTAACTACCTCGCCTGGTATATAGAATACTCTTTGGTTCTATTCGGTAAAGTCAAAGCGTTTTGTGTCCTCCCACACAGCTTAAAAGGACGCGACCTGGGCTGGACTGTCTTCACTCCAACGCTGTCCTCGTGACAGTACGGTCCCCTTCACCTGATGAAGGCCACTTGTGTTGTGGCCGAAACGTCGTGATATTTTGTTGTTTTATTTTTTACCTACGTGACTTTACCGAATAGAACCAAAGAGTATGGATCCTTGCAGTCACGAAAGCTTCAAATCTGGTATATAGAATGTTGTGGGTTCGATCCCAACCCTGACGCTTGTATATTTGGAGTTTGCATGTTCTCCCTGTGGTCGTGTAATTTTTTTTCTCCGAGTCCTCCGTTTTTTCCCTCCACATTTAGAAACGTGCGTTTAGAGTATTTGGCTGCAATACATTTCCACATGATGATACACCACTTCGTGGGGCTCTTATTTGTGGCCAGGTCACTTCTCAAAAAAGAGCTAGTGGGGGTCTTACCTGGTAAAATAAAGTGGTTTAGTTTAACACAGGCTTTCTAAATTGTCCATAAGAGGTTTTTTGGGTTAGATCACGTAAATATAAAATGTGCCATTAAACCCGCCACCACAAACAAGGCATTTAGTAAGATTTGTCACGTAAACAAAACGTGCCAATTCGTTACTAGTACAGCATATTGGTGTGTTGGAGAGTAAATCCACAACATTTATATTAAGAGCATGATACTTTTGGAGTTCAGCTTTCCTTTAACCCCTATTTTTTGTTTGGTGATTGAAATAGTTTTTCCTACATAGAAGTGTACATACAGACTCGTGGAATTCATTTGATATCTTAAACAATTAGTCAAGGCACAGAGCTCTGTTGATGTGAAATTCGACAGACAATTTTTTTTAGTCAAGGAAAAGATAATTTTTAATTTCTGGTTCAAAATTTTGAGCAAAACACAACTGTAGGGCACCGTGTGTGGTGCTGCTTGGAGGCGTGCGGAGTGTGCGAGCTGACCTCTTCCATGGGGATGACCTGGGAATAGCCTCCTCCTGCTGCACCCCCTGGTTTGGAAAAGCAACACCAATGATCAGAGACTAACAGATACGTTAATGAAATCACACCCATGGAGGTATGGATAAAGATCCTTCCTATAGCCTTAAAACTTTTGGGGCAAGTGCTGTTAATAAGCACCTATCAAGGCCGGCACGGTACGAGATGGTGGGCGGCCAAGCACCACCCCCGACTGCCTTTATCTCTCCAGTGGCGATGTTTACTACACACCGCACCAGGCTACTTATTCGAGGCTGAGTCGACCTAGGGAAAGCCCAGGACCAGTTCAGATAATCGTCACTGGTGTCGGCCGCGAGCGGGAATAGTACACTGGTCACCAGGTTCGTAGCGCAGCGCGCTAACCGCTACACGCGCACAACAACAAACAAATACGTGCTCCCACGCACCTTTGATGCCAAACGTGGGTCCCTGCGAAGGCTGGCGCACGCAGGCGAAGGTATTGACGTGCAGCTGTCCGGAAAGCGCTTGCGCCAGCCCCATCGTAGTGGTGCTCTTGCCTTCGCCCAGGGGCGTCGGGGTGATGCTGGGGATTACACCGCTCCACGTTTCAACTCGCACTCTCTCACACGCACACCAGTAGGCTCCCAGTTGCTGCCGTCACACTACTCCCGAGCACAAAGTAATATATATTTTTTCAACACTTTCCAACTTAAGTTAATGCATTAGCTCTGTCCAGGGGAGCACTATAATTTTCGTAAAGGCGATCCAATATGAACGAACCTGGAGTATAAAGTAGTGTTGCTATTTGAGACGTCAAAAGGTGAAGATCACAGTAACGACTGCCATAGTAGTGATAAAAGAGTGACAAAGATGCGAATGACAGCCGGTGAGGGTGGCTAGTGAATCAGCAAGTTCAGGAGCAATCAGCCAACCCCTTATGTTGTATTCTTTCAAGCAGAGCAAGTCAATATTTATTACTAGCCTTTTGCCCGTCCAAGGACGGGTGTATATCAGTAAATCCGAAACTTGCAAGCAAAAAGCAGACCACGTGATATTCATTGCATCAATTCGTGTGCAATTTGTAAAGCCGCAGTGACACAGACTTATTTCATTTCAAGGTTATAATCCCTTATTCATCATGACGTCCTTTTTACTTCTATGTCTCAATAGACCCTCAGGTCACGCGGAGCTCGCGTGACATGAGGGTTCTGCCTTTGTAGTGAGTGTTGTAAGTTGACGCTTAGGAGGGGTGAGGAGGCGCCTCGCCCCCCAAGTGGAGTGATGCCACCTGTTAATTAATATTAATGGTAGGGTGGGGTGTCCATTTGCAAGACGTCACCTCTTCATGATTATTAATGAGGGGGGGCTGTTCGATGGAGTGATGTCACCTGCTCATTATTATTAATGGCGGGGGGGGGGGGTTGCTACATGTGGAGTGACGTCACCTGCTCATAATTATTGAGGGGGGGGGGGGTCCATGTGGAGGGCGTAACCTGTTCATGATTAATTATTAATGAGGGGGGCTGGCCAACGTGGAGCGACGTCATGCGCGGGACACACAGATATTCTTGGCTCATTGTTGTTATTATTCGCTTGCCAACTCGGGTAGACCTCGGTAAAGACTATTTTTCAGGAGGGTCCTGCCAAGTGTTCACAGTTGTTGGCGATTCCATTATGATGCCATCCCAATTGAGCAATTTTGCAGGTAGATTTTTCAGCATTGGGCTGCTTTGGCCAAACCAGTTACAATGTAAGTTGTGCTTTAGCTATGGGAGGAAAACGAAGTATCCCGAGGAAACACGTGCGGAAAAGGGGGGAGAACATAAAAACTCCACACAAAAAGACACTTGGGTCGCGAGTCAAACCCAGGGGCTTCTTGCTGCGAGGCACAAGTGTCACCGCTGCCACCACCCTCTGCTGGTCCTAATTCACAGGGTACCAACGAGGAGCAAAGCCGAGTCTATACTTACTCATACGAATGCAATTTGAACGAATATACTTTAAGGGGCGCCATGGTGGTGTGATGTTGCCTCCCTCGCCTGGTGTGCAGGAGGTCGGGGGTTCGAACCTGACGCCTATATATTTGGAGTTTTGTATGTTCTCCCCGTGGTCACGTGGATTTTTTTTTTCTCCGGATCATCCAGTTTTTCCCTCCACATGCAGAAATATGAATTAAGATTATTTTGGCACTGTGGACTTCCACGTGATGGGCCACTTTGTTGAGCTGTCATTCGTGGCCAGGTCACTTCTGAAGGGGAAGCTAGTAACTGTGGGCTTTGCCTGGTAAGAGAAAAAAAGTGTATTTTTATTCGTATATATATTTTTTACTGATTTGTTTACCTTCCCTATAATGTGTACTCCTATAGTGTTTTTGTCCTGTTTGTTGTTGTAATGTTCTGATCCGCTCCTATTGGACATCTATCAGAAAGAGCTTGATAGCTCAACAGATCCCTCCAGTGCAAATAAAGATTCTGATTCCGATTTTGCATCGTTCCATCTGCACCCTGCCATTCCGTGTTGCACTCGTACCCAGTGACCACGACGTATTTGCCGCTGGGCTCGTTGCGCAAGCGGTTCAGCACGCACAGCGACACCTTCCCCTTGCCGTGTCCGTACGCCTCGACCTCGCTGGGCAACAGCCCAACCTCTCGGCCCAAAACCTCGATGGGCTTGGGCTTCTGCGAGCGAGAAATCTCGATGTCGCTGAGGGAAAAATCACGCACAACCAAGGGGTGTGATCGTCAGGGTTAAAGACATGTGTGACTTTGAGTCAGCCAGAACCATTAGAAGAACACAACTGAAGTGTGTGTGCCCAAAGGTTACACTATAAAGAATGACTGCATCTTGAGCAGACATGTCATTCTCTTATGCTCAGTCTGCCAATTAACTATTTTGCCCCCCTTCACCAAATCCAAAACAACTCTGCTCACCTCATATTCAACAATCCCTACAATTTCCATACCTCGACCCTCCTCGCGCAACTGCACTGACTCCCTATCTACAACCGTTCCTTGTTCAAATTCCTCACTCTGGTCGACAAATCCCTTCATATATTGCCACTCTTGTATCTTTATAAGTGTCGGCTTCTCGCCCCCTATGTTCACAATCTTTGCCATCTCTCTCTTGGTTTCTCCTTTTGCTCAATCCATGCTTTCCCTCTTTTTCACTTCTCGCCACCCACTGAAACAAACTTCCCCTCCTAATTAAAACAATCACCTTCGCTCACTAGTTTCCACTCTGCACTCAAAACTCACTTATTTTCCCAAGCTCATCCCACGACCCCTGAATCTCCCCCTCATAACCGCAACCGTTACTTTTCCCTCTTCATATTCTCATTATATGGCTCTCACTCATTCCCAATTCATTCAATCCATCCATCATCTTTTACAGTCATCAATTTCGCTTTCACCGAATTCACGAATCATCAAAAATTTGCCCATTGCTTCTTCTCATCTGTTTCATTCACCTCATCTCCACTATTACATTCATATGTACTATTATCAATTCTGTGTAAAGTGCCTTGGATAAGGCTCTATATCATTTTTTTTAAATGTAATGATTCATCAGCCAAAATATATTTATTACGCTGCTCAGGATACATTCACTGAATTGCGGGTTTTAGAACGGTTTGATTTTGGTACGGAGCCATTTCATACAAATTTCTCCTTCAAGCTGAATGAAAAACAGTACACAGAATGAGTCAAACGAGATACGGTACAGTTGATCCGTGGGCCGTACAAACGAGACGGCACAAGCAGGATAAATAAAATAATTCACTATCGAATCGAATCATCACTACAAATCACGACAATTCATCACATCATGGTAGGGGTGAATTGTTACATTCCCCATACTGATATTAGTGACACGTTTCATACGTAGGCTTTAACAACCAATACCATGAGTGACACGGCAAAGGAGAAGCACTGAAGCCATACCATGGGACAGGCTGCTTTGGCTCAATCTTCAGATGGGTCAGTTCCCACGTTCCAGTCTTAACTTGCGCCAGAAACTTCTTTGCGCATTCCACAGTGTTCTGAAATACGTGAAAGCGCATACACAGCGAGATAACAATCGCAAAGAAGTTTTATAAATTACTTACAGAACCAAACTGAACGTGATGGTTTCTTGTTCAGTCATTAATGACTGGGCTGTTACCATAAACTCACTACACACTTGAGAATTCAACTGAATCTCTGGCAGTTGCTTGGATTGGAATACAGGATCTCAATAGTGGCAGCTCAGAGACTCGATGAATAAATCAACTAAACATGTGAAACTATCTGTCGTCAAACACTTGGGGTCCTTTAAAACTAGCGACCGCCAAGACATCCTGCCTTCTCTCACGTTACATCTCCAGTCTCGTTTATCTGCCATCATCCCTTGTCGCGATGTATCCTGCCCAAGCCTGCTCACTTTGACCGCCAGGCCACGTCCGAACATAATTTAACGTGCATAGATTGACTAAGTGGTGAGATGTTAACTACCTCGCCTGGTACACAGGAGGTCGTAGGTTTAATCTCGACCCTGACGTCTGCTGTATATTTGGAGTTAGCATGTTCTCCCCGTGGTTATTTGGCTGCTATAAATTTCCACATAAGCCACTTTCGTTGAGCTATCATTTGTAGCCAAGTCGCTTCTGAAAACGAACTATATAGCTGTGGGCCTTACCTTTTAAAATAAGGATAGTTTAGTTTTAGTTTAAAGCAGTGCTTGGGTGCTGTAGTAATGCGTCTGCATAAATACCTCCATCAGCATTGCGACGGTCATTGGGCCTACGCCACCGGGCACAGGCGTGATGAAGGAAGCCACTTCCCTTGCTTCTTCAAACTTCACATCTCCCACCATTCGCTGGCCGGACACTTTGCTTTCATCTGAAAGATATATTTCGTGTTGACGCCGAGCGTTTTCTATCGGCGAGAATCACCCGCTATGACAATTATATCAGAAGCATGGTCACCGACAATTACAAATGTAACAAAAGCTGAAAAGTGTGCAAAAAAGCCTGAAGAAAATACATGCTCAAAAGTATACACATAGATAGAAAGAAAGAGCAGCACATGGCATGGACCAAATGAGCAAACTTAATTCATAGGTATCATACTGACTGTTAAGAAAATCGGGCTTGCAGCAAGATGCATTTTAAGGGTTGACTGCAGATGACCACGGTTGGTGACGGGAATGGCAACAAAGGAGAAAGTACCAGAGAGGACCATAGTGGAGATGAAGCAATGAGATTTATTCAGATGAAGAAACGGAACAGACCGTAGTTTCACAGGATCAATAGCGATTTTAAAGGCATTGGGAGGCTCTCTTCTCATAGTAGAGAGAGAGAGCCTTGCCAATGATTACGACATTTAAACATAGGAGTTGATTTTAACTGTGATTCTCCTAGTTACCTGGTATGTGGTTAATTCCACAGTCAATCACAACGGCACCCTTCTTGATCCAGCTGCCACGAACCATCTCGGCTTTGCCAACAGCCACCACCACAATGTCTCCTTCAGAAACCTTGCATCAATATGGACACACAGAAGATTCAGAGTTGATACGATTAATTGACTAAAAACTATAATTAGCTTTGTCGTCAAAACACTGGGGACTTTTGAAAACTGGCGGCTGCCCAGACATCCTGCCTTTTCTCATTCGGCTGCCATTCCATGTCCAGTCTCGTCCATCGGCCATTGCCACTTCTCATGATGTATCCTGCCCAAGCCTTCTTATTTTACTTGACAATGTCTCGAAATAACATTTGTTCCCTGCTCCACACATTCCTTTATGTCTCTCGGGATAAATCAAAGCATGCTATCTCTCCGTGACTCTTTGCTGTTTGCCAGTCCACATATCTATTTCTGACTATTGCCTGCAAATATACATATAGTGGGCTAACATATGCTTGGGGTCTTTCGGTAAAGTCACGTAGATAGGTTCAAATTAATAATTGCTTATTTTATTTTTATTAATTTGAACCTATCTACGTGACTTTACCGAAAGACCCAAAGACTATGAATTCCTGCAGTCACGAAAGCTTTAAGTCAAATGGGCTAACAGTTTAATACGTAGACTTTCGCGACCAATATACTCCATAAGGTTTGTTTGGGTCAGATCGCATAAATATGTAATTAAATCCGCCAACCAGCCTCATCTGGTTGTAATTACTGGAGAAACATCATACTTAAATTGTAAATGTCGTGGGTTTACTCTCCAACACACCGGTGTGCTGAACTTGTAACAAATTGGCATGTTTTGTTTACGTGACAAACCCTTACTAATGGGCTGTGTCACGTGGCGACGGGTTTAATGACACTTATATTTCCACGATCTAACCCAAAAAACCCTCTATTACAAAGTGGACTAACGGTTCACGGAACACCCACTCTTGACAGAGACAAAGAGTGAGCAGAACGCTTGGACTGGCTTAGTTTGAGAATGCATTTTACAATACAGAGCCCTGAAAACACATCTCAGCAATTTGGAAGTTTGGCCAATACCATGTTCAAGTGTATTTGTATAACCAGGTGAGAACTGAAGTGAACAGGGTAGTCTTATTTGTAAGAGTGACCGACCCATTTCTTTTTGCTACACACTACCACTAAAATTGGATAAGATGACATAAAAAAAGCAAAAACTGTGGTCAGTTGCACAACAGCGAAGTTATTTCCGCCCCCCCCCACCTCCTTAATTTACACAGTTTTAAATGACAAACCAAGAGAAAATTCCACCCAAGATGTTTGATGTAATCGGCCAAAACACCATTGCACAAGTGTAAATACGCGCTTGTCCGTTTTACAATGGACGTGAATGATCTGTCCGATGTCGCTGGAAATGCGTAGGCGATTGTGTGCCGGCATCACGGTCCAAAATTAGAAAATGTCCCCACAAACTGCTCGTTTGAGGATCACACAAGGTGGCAATTTTCACGCCCTACTGCCAGACTAATGCCCGAGTGCACACCAAGTGCCAAGTCCCTTTTACGCCCCGGCGTAAAGAGCACTATTAAAACCAAATCATTATCTTCATGATCATTATATTGGATTACAATTAATACAATCGTTGTGGGGTGGTGAATCGTCACATCTTTCGGCGGCATTTAACAATGAATCGATTAATCGACCAAAATCGACTCCTACACTCACAGCACATGCATCAAATCGTGCAGGTAAGAATAAATTATTTCCATTACTAAACACTACAGTGGCTTCACCTAAACACTGCAGGCACTTAGACGTGTGACATCACCCCCCCCCCACAACCGTGAATAACCAAATCATTCCACCGAATTGTGACTATTATTCAAATCGCAAAAGGGGGAGGGCTGGGAAGAAAATTGTTACAGGACTACTAAACAATTAACACAAAGACAAAGATTTAACCGTATAGCCTTTAGCAGACTTGGGGCAAGTGCTGTTAGCGGGCACCTATGAAGGCCGGCATGGCACACGAGGAAGTGGGTGGGCAGCTCCATGCCCAGCCGCTATTGTCCCCCCAAGTGGACATGTCTACGCATCGCACCAGGTACTCATTTGAAGCCGAGTCAACCTAGGGGAGGCCCGGGACCGGTTCAAATATTCGCCACTGTTATTGACCGAGCGGGAATCAAACTCGGGTCACCGGCTTCGCAGCGCAGCATGCTAACCACTGCCCCACCACTCCCCACACACACACAGTGTGAACACCACGGTGACAATCGCGGTGGTAATGTGCGTCGCTACGCACCACTTTCTCCAGGTTCTCAGTCTTGGAGTGGCAAGTCGTGACTGTGGCGTGGTTCCAAAGCAGCAGGTCGTGCATCGGAGCTCCCACAATACTGCTTCGCCCCAACACGACTGCTCTCTTGCCGGCGATTTTCATCCCTGGGCAGTGCCACAGCAAATGTATGGAGGTACAGACAAATCAGCAACACCTTTCAGTTTAAAACACCCACTCATTGCAAAGTAGACCTAGCGTAAACCTAGGGAACAGTTTTTGCCAGGACACGTAAGAATAATTTCTTGTGTTTAGTTTGTCGTCCTTCCGCCACACCTCCGATTAGCACCGTTGGCTATGTACGGTGTGAAAGAAGATTAACATACATACATACAAACATACAAACAACAGTATTCATAGGAATTTAACGTGAGATTAAAATAACACCGAGGAGATATCTATAGACTTAGTTAACTGGACACAATAGCTTAAATACAAAATAAAATGCTGCTGTAATTGTTTGAACACTGGACTTGCATTCCAGGTGGCCAGTTTGGTAAATTTCCCAGGGAGGATTTCTTAGATCCCATCTCCCCCCAAAGTCTGGCCACACAAATATATATATATGCCACGGTTTAGTTGATCGGTAGAGGTCACATATGATGGGGTTAAGTGTGGGTACTCCCACCTCTTCAAAGATGTCTGGCCAGCGTGGAAGAGGAGTTGAAAATACCCTCAAGTGGAGACTTTTCTATCGGCAATGGCAAGAGCAAGCTATTTCATGGCGGCAGCTTTACCTTTTTACACAATAGTTTTGGTAATGCGGCGTAATTATGTTTTTTAGGATTTCATTAAGACAAGTTCTAAAATTCTACATTACCATTTGCACTGCCAACTATCATGAGTTGGGGCGATTGGAGAGTGCATTTAACAGATGGTTATAACAAATGGTTTACTAAATAATACACGAGTCAAAGTTTGTAACGCTGATTTCAAGGTTCATCATGGGACCACCTTTGCCAGTACCAAAATATGAGAATAGGTTTTCCCCTTTTTTCTGGCAACAAACGGGTGTAAATATGTTAAAACACCAAACTGAAACCTTTTACAAGGAATCATGTCTGCATTAACCACAATACTTGTGGTCAGAATGCAAACAAAAAAACACTGATAATATATGCATTGTCTTTGGCGTCCTCTGGTCTAAAACCATTTGAGACTAGGCTCCAAAAAAAGCTGTCTCTGGTGTGGACCAATCAGTTTCAATCTCATGTCAAGGCTATTTTACGCAGGTTGCGCCACTTTTCAGGCATTTCAGATTTTTAGCAAAGTTCACTTTCATAAGCAGAGACAGTTTCACTTGTTAGCAATGACATTAATTGTGAAATGTACCGTACAAAAAAAACCCTCAAATGTTTTATCAGGCAGCCAAACAATCAACGGCATTTTAATCCAGTAATATGCGACACAGAGTTTCTCAGTGTCGGCAGCTACACGTCTTGGCATTTCCTTTATGCCTTTGACCATGACACACGTAATACGCAGGTTTTGTTTCATGCTCATGAATATCCACTGTAAACGTTGTCATGCCCTCTTGAATCAACCTTATCCATGGTTGTTTTTTTTATATGCTCTTGTCTATGTACTTTGGATTTGTTATGCTTCCTTTGGCTATTGCTCTTCAGTCTCACCACATCCCATGAGGTGAAGAGTGAATCGCATTATATTTTCAGAGCAACAAAATTCCTTGGGGGTTTGGGAGGAGAAAATTGCTGGTCGCTCCCTCAATGTGCCCTGGATTCGCTTCTGTCCCTTTGGGGCCCCCTAAGAGAAGTTTGTGTTAGCACTCCACAGAGATGGAGGGGGGGAGGGATATTTTATATTTCCCATATAGCATCCCAGGGTTTACAGAGGTTTGGGGGGGGAGCCTGGGTTACCCAGAACGTGCGTAGGGGTCGTTGATTCCTGCCTTTCTCGCTTTGAGGGCCAGGGTTTGGATGGGTTAGGGTTGGTCATGGCTCTTTTCTTGTGAGTTTTTCAGGGATTATAGCGAGGTGGTCCCTTTTTTTCTGGAGTCAATAAATCTCCATTGGGTGACTTGGTGTAATTCACACCGATATTCAGAGTCAGTGTTCGGCTGAACGGGGTTTTACTGTACGTTTGATCGGGATGCATGTTAACTTGAAGTACAGGGACTCCTCTACTTACAAACGAGTTAGGTTCCAAAAATATGTTCTGAAGTCGGTTTGTTCATAAGTCCAACTTTACTCCTGTCGATTCCAAACACAATGGCTTTAAAAGTTGTATAATCTCCTGTAGATGCCACCACCGCCATCTATTGTGCAGCGGTCGAACTTACGACTCTCGGTCCGAACAGGCAACTGGACATACGGATAGGTTTTTGTTAATATCTCTGAAAATTCTTAAGTCGAATGTTTGTCAGTAGAGGAGTGCCTGTATGCTGTATTCGTACACACTTCTATGTCACGGCATAATCGCTGGACGTTACGCCTGTGGGCACGCAGAAGCGTGGCAGTCCTTAACCTCGCATTTACTCCTGTGTTAGACATCTGCTTGAGGAATACGTCCATCACGTTCGATCGAATACCTTACCTGCGTTCGGCTGCACTGTTTGTCAATTGGATGTGCTGGTTTTGCTCCTCTATGTTGTTTCTTGTTTGTGAATTAATTCGACGAATTGTTAAACGACGCAAGCGTAAAACCCTTACACAATTCTATTATTAATCATTAAGCCCTCGTTACACGCATTGGAATGCCGAATGAGAGAACATATTATTTGCAAATTATATAAAAGTATTACCATTAAAATAATGAATTGAACGAGACTGAATGAGACAGAATTGTCTGCTGTTTATGTATTATTTGCTGTTGTAACTTGCTGACCCCGCCTATACTGGACATCTGTGAAAAATTGCGTCATAGCTCATTGGATTCCTCCAGTCTCAATAAAGATTCCAATTCTGAATAAAACCGAGATGTCATGAAAAGAGACAAAAAAAATATTGGACTCTTGTACCGAATCGTGACGATGATTAGAATAGCACGTGTGTGTGTAGGGGGGGGGGGGGGGGGGAGAATGTGATGCATGCGTAGGTGAATACAAACGCCACCTGTCCTGCGAATGAGCTCCATGCAGCCCTTGGGCGTACAGGGGAGAATGCAGTTATCCAGATTTCCGCGAGACAAGAGACCAGCGTTGGTGCACGTCAGCCTGCAGAACGGTAGGGAACACACGCCGGAACGATCTACGTATTTCACAGGCCCCGTAGACATCTATACGCGCATCGCACAAAGGTGTAACTTGCGTACGGCAACTCGGGAGACATACCCGTCCACATCCTTGCCCGCGGCAATGAAGTTGGTGACGCGGTTAGCGTTAATTGGATGGTCCGATTCCAGCGGTAGCTGCACAATGATCCCGTGCACTTGCGTGTTTTCGTTGAGGTCCTTAATTTTTTCCAGCAACTGCGCACAAGATTTCGAAGTGTGCGAGTATGAGAAACGCTCGCGCAACTACAAACTATCTTCATTTGAAGCTTTCGTGACTGCAGGAATCCACTCTTTGGCTGTTGGTAAAGTCATTATAGGTAGAAAAATTAAATAAAAAATAATATATCACGACGTTTCGATCGCAAGACAAGCGGTCGTCCTCAGGCGGAAAAAAATAATCCAGCAGTAGAACTGCTGAACCAGACAACTACAAACGCGTGGGTCAAACGTTTCGCGTTTCCTCCGTATTATCAACGACTGACTCATTGCAACAAACCAAGTGGAATTCGTACCTCTGTTTCGGTGGTGTTCCTTGACAGACATACGTGGACAGCAGCCACTCCAATCTGGACCACAAGGTTGTTAACACAGTTAAAAGTAATGCGCCAACAGGGTGTTCATAGAAAAATACAAATGTCTGAATGTGACTGCATTTCTGGTCGGTGCACGCATATGAGAAACAAGCTCATATAAAGTTTCAATGTTTGTTACACGAAGGTTGAGAGCATGAATATCTGTCTGTTATTAACAGGAGAGCAAGATTACACTCTACCCCAATAGTGACAACTTTCTACTCACAACTGGTTCACATCGATGATCTTTGCAAGAGTTATTGTGCCCCACATTTACAGACAGACAGACATTACAATGCATTAACGCTCTCAAAGCTGGACTTGAATTCAAGTACATCACCATATTCTAGATCTGAAGTTTTCGTGACTGCAAGGATCCATATTCTTTGGTTCTTTCGGTAAAGCCACGTAGGCGAAAAATTAATTAATTAAATCACGCCGTTTCGATTGCAACACAAGCAATCATCAGGTGTGACAACCACAGCAAGAAATTCAGTAAAAATAATTCCTGTGGTTGTCACACCTGATGATGATTGCTTGTGTAGCAATCGAAACGTCGTGATTTAATTTATTTTATCACCTACGTGACTTTCCCGAAAGAACCAAAGAATATACATCACCATAGCATATCTGATCAAGATTCTATTTTTATGTTTCATGAACAAAGCTGAAACTCATGTCAATAGCCCAGTACACACAGCCTATATAATTATCAACGATAATACAATATTTAAATATGAAATGTGGTTGTAAGAACACGGTTGAAGAACAATGCTTGTTAAGACATAAATCATAATACTCACCTGTGTGTAATTTTCAAGAGATCTTTACAAAAGATCAACTTTAGCAATTTTGGATTAAAATTTATATTAAAAATTCCCAGACAGTGCGCGTGTAAATTTTCACAGCCGAAATCACCACAACAGGCAATATCCTGACCCAACTTAAGGGGTTGCAGGCTGTGTACGATGGCTTGACAGCTACGTTGTGAAACTAACAGAGCTCAAATATGCATTAAATAGCAAAGTATTGAATCAATAACCTCTTGTAGCTAAAGAAGTTGCAATTTAGAAGGACGAAAGGGATGCTAGTAGAGGGCAGATGGATTCGAGGGAGAACCCAGGGTGAGATGGAAGGATGTGGTGGAACGATGTACGAGAGGTGTACCTGACCGAAATAAGAGGCACAGAAAATAACAAAAACATGAGCAACTAACCCCTAGCAAATAATGGGACTTTTTGGCATAGAATAAGAAAAGAGCAATCATGAACCTCTTCTGCAGCCTTCAGTTTCATCTTGATGTAAACATTGGAGTCTTCACGGTCTCCAACCTGGGCAAAGGTGATAAAATATAATTTAAAAAACCATTTGTAATTACTGTTAGTCTCGTAAAAAAATCTTAACAGAGTAAACTGTGATCACGGCTCAGTCCGAGCGTTACCTGCACTATGGCCAGTCCGAGTTGAAAGGTCGGATGCTTCTGCTTCAGTTCTAGGATCTCTTTTTTGAGTCTTGCACGGACATCGCTGCGAAAAACAACATTGAAAGAAATAACCACGGCACTGCTTTAACAACCATAACCTCCTGCATATGTGCAATGGATTTACGAATTAAAACGGCGTTTGCCCAAACGATTCAAAGATACATTTGCTCTGTCGAAATCTTTGGCAAGCAGAAGGTGCCAGATGCAGTGTAACAAAATATAGTGGTGTAGTGTGGAGTGTGTGCGTACGCGACATACTGTGCCATCGATACCAAAGGTTTGGCTTCTCTCGTTGCAAATCCAGCCTTCCGAGCACCAATCGCAATTACGTAATGCCGGACATTCACACAAGCTGCCAGTAGTGCTCTGTTTAATACAGTCGGCATTCTGTACTTATTTTCAACTTCTTTCTTAACAAAACTTAACAAATTTATCCGAGCAGTCTTCTCGGTCCACAACTAAAATATATATCCTTCAACTTTGCGGATCACTAAAAACTACACATTCTCACAAATGACCTTTGTAGGTATGAAGCGAAACAGTAACACAGAACATATTTACAAGTCATAGCCAACAGACACTTCAGCACACACCACACCACTGTGTGACCATGCCTAATATAAAGGCTACAGTGACTAAGCATATCTCTAAAATAATAAATATTATGAATCCGTGTTGTTACAGGAGGGCAAAGTGTTTTCCAGTAATGGTGCAACGGGGAACTGATTGTATCAGCTGCAGGTCAAACTCCAACCTTCAAATTTTAGTTAATGTCACTGCCAATGCGATAAGACTTTGACCAATCAACATAGATTATCTGGGGGCGTTGTATACCCTACTCGGAGTTCATAGCATTACCAGGGCATGCGAGACATAACCCTAATGTTCCCAATATAACCATAAACTTGTCAATTGCTTTTGACCGATTGAGAGGAACAGAGCGGCATGTTTTCACATTTGCAATTAAAATAACTACAATTTCCAGCAACATTAACTTTCCAAATAACGACTCACATTCAACTTCCACAATTCGCCCACTCCTCAAAAACTGTACTTGCTAAAAATGCACAAGTTATTTTGTGTGCCACATTCGTGCTCTGGATCACTCCTTGTCCAATGAAGAAACCAACGCGTGTCATGTATAAGCTATGTAACAACAGACTTTGATTGTCTAATGCAAGGTTGATCAATAACTATTATTTCCCATTGAGTAAAAACATGTCCTTCTAATTCTGTGCTCTATGCACATGTGGACTAACCAGCTTTCAATCAGAATCAGAATATGTATTGATACTGGAGGAATTCGATGAGGTATAAAGCTTTTTTTTCACAGATCACTAGTTCCATACCATTGCAATCTTCTTCTTCCACGCGTTTGTCCCACTCATGTGGGGTCCGCTGTCCTAGCCAACCTTCTCCATGCTGCCCTCCCTGTCCTTCGCCACTCTCTTTCCGCTCCTCGGACCACCATGTCCGATCACACCACATCGCCCCACCTCTTCTTCTGCCTTCCTCTTGATCACTTTCCTTCCACTTGCACCTTCTGACCCATATAATCTTCCTATCGTCTCTCAACATGACCAAACCGCTCCAGCCTTTTCTCTCTCATCTTCTCTGTGATTTCTACCACCTTGAGTCTTCCTCTCACTTCCTCATTGCAAATGCGAAATCAAAAGGATTTGTTTTTCAGGAACGATAAAATGTCTTTTCAAGCAAGTGAATTCAAAGGGTTTTGATTTTTCAACCAGAAAAATGCGTGCACTGTAACACGCCACACAATAATCAAGTTAAATTGACCAGAGGTTTTGGAGTCTGAACTATTTCTGAGTAATGAGGATATACTCTTTAAATAGATTTTCTAGATATCAGTATCTATCCAATGCCTTATACTGCCCTAGCATTTTAAAATTAGGTGGTTAAAGGGCATTGGTGGTCTTGATAACGTATATCCGCTCTCAGTTATAAGAAACGAATGCCAGAACTAAACAATTACAACAGTAAATTAACGCAGCACAAAATTTAGATTTTAAGTCCACAGCGCTGGAAATAAAATACCTGCTCAGATGTTAAAGTTATGTCTTTGAAACGAGGTTATTGTTGATGCGTTGCACTAATTGTAACTTTGCTCAAAACATCCATGGGATGTTTAAAATGTCAAATGTATTTGTGTCCACTTATACCACACAATGCCAAAGCCCTTATCCTGTACAATGATGGTGTTTGAGCCGAACTTAACACCAATAATAGTGAATCTAATTAATTTGCACAGCCACACAAGTGAGTCTTTACAACAACAACAAAAAACCCCTTTCAGACTATTGAGAGCAATGCTAATTCATGAGCGTATTTTTGTGGAGAGTCATGGGACGTGGGATTCTTTTAAAATCTCAACCTACAAATACAAAATTTCAGTCTGTCACCTGAGGATATCTAATTATTTTAACAACATACTCCCCCCTCATTACATAGCCATCCGTGCTGACACTTACATGCAGTGTATAGGGAGACTCCCCAACTGTCTGCAACTTGTCGCTTCCTATGTCGCTTTGTGCAGCAAAGTCTGTCACTAGCTTGTGCAAAAGTGGCTGCTTCTCGTGCCCTTGCGAACAAGACCCACAACGACACTCAGCAGTGAGCAAGATACTTTAAATGAAACGGTCGTTAGAGCTATTTAAGTCCTGTCTTGAAAACTCACCTCTTTAAATTTGCCTTTAGCCCCTAGTCCTGGTCGTTTACCTGCAGGTTATGTTTATTTACTACTTTCCACACACGGTGCATTGGGATCTACGGATGAAAAGAGTCTTACAAAATGTAAATTATTAATCTGACTTTTGCTAGCGATGCACTGCGCATACTCCCGCCCTCTCCTAGCAATTCAATAAATTGCAATAATCATTATCATCAGCAGCCATGATCAATGCACGATGGATGAAGGCCGCCCAAAGTCATTACCATTTCTCACAATTCTGTGAAGTAATAACCCACCTTGCACCTGTACGTGAACCGAATTTATTATTCTTATTTTAATGGTCTCATTCGTATAAAAAAATAATTTTCTCGGTCTCATTTGAAAAGCTCTGATCTCTTCATTATCCAAATTGTAACATATTTATATAGCATACACGAATCTTTAAAAAATGTATTTTCATATGCATCATTAAAGCAACCTTGTGTGGCTAACGCAATTGGTTTACGCAAACCCCGCAGCCATGTAAGACTATACATTCACCGCAAAGACAAAACAAGAATCAATTCTTGAATTAAATGGTTACTCTAAAATCTAGGAAATCGTTTAATCACAAGGGAGGTGAATAATTGTCCACCACGCTGATCAGTGTGACTTGGTGAAGATGGGGAGCACAGACGTGAAGGTTTAGAAACAGAGTACAACAATGGATTTTACTGCACTCCCCTCTACTGCCCGACACAGCCCCACAGGCCCTGTGACGATCCGTTGCACGTGGTGGTCTACCCTTCAAAGCACTACCCAGACTCAACAACTGCTTTAGTTTCTGAGAGCTGGCAAGATGGGGCACATTCCGGGTGATTTGACCAGTATCGCTCTTAAAAATGTGTACTTGTGCTGGCTTTATTAGAATAAACGTACAATGCTTGCAGAGGCAACCGATAACCCAGTGAGCAAATGGGCTTTGACCAAGCTCAAACCCATCTCAATCATGCCAAAACCCAATGACCCAGCGTGGACCCAGCTGAATACTGCCAATAAAATGTCACTGCAGGGTGAACCCGGCCCAACACGGATGGATAATGCCACATGCCTCCAACCTCCAGCCTCTCGAACACAACTGCTGTTGCAGAGCACCAGCATTTTCTGTCACGTGTTACCCACTACAAGCATGAACGATGCATGTTTCAAATATCTGCATAAAGCAGTGGCGTAGTAGTTAGCGTATAACGCCAATAACCCAATGACCTAGAGTTTGATTCGGTCACGTACAACATCAGTGGTGAATGATAACTAAACCGGTCATTGACCGGTCTCACCTACCCACTCCCACCCACCCCCCTTCCCCAACCTGAAATGAACAACGTGGCGAAGCATGGTCATAACATCATATATAACTATTATATCCTTATGTATGGCAGCATATATATTCAGGAGCCAAATGCCAATGTCTGCTAGCCACGAGAGGGCTTAAGCAGAACTTGTGTAGTTTTACTGTCCCTTCTCCATGTAAGGAGCGCAGACTACATTGGTTCACTATGTCGTCCATTGATAGCTTACGTGCTATTATGTAGATAAATTATGCACCGGCAAGCACACTAAACTATATGATTTAGGACTTGAGTTTGATTAACAGCCACGGCAAACATCATGGCTGTTCTGAGCCCCCTGTCTTTAACAACCTGCACCGACCAGCATCGTGAAGCATGGGCAAACAACCCCATGACCGACAAGGCATGAGGAAGCCTTTAAGCAGCAATGGATTGACAAAGAATATAATTGTGTTAATGATATTTTTATGCTGACAGGATTGCTGGTTTTTGGAGATTACATGCATGAGCAACCCATCTGCAGGGGCAATAAGGGTGCCTTTACGAGGCAGTAGAGCAAGTAATGTGTGGAGTGTAGGTATGTTGAACTTCTTTCGCACCGTACGTAACCAACTGTGCTAATCGGAGGTGCAGGGGAAGGACATGAAACTAAAGACAAAAATCAGTTCTCAAAAAATAAGTTTTCACTCGATTTAAAAGTCCGTAGCTCCAGTGGCTTCCTAATATCGGAAGAGCGTTCCAGACGGCCGCAGATGCGCATCTGAAAGCGCGTTATGCAGTGACCGTCTTTGTTCGATGGCCAGCCACAAAAGACACTTCCAGGATGACCAGAATTCGCATTATGATGGTTTACGCTCCCTGACGAGATAAGCAAGGTACAGTGGTTCATTTGTGGGAAGTACTTTCGTGTGTAATAAGTGCGACCTTATAATGTATTCATTCAGCAACCAGTGGTAAGGAGGTTCGCTCACTACGCTATGAACCCAGGGACCTGAATTTTGATTCCTGGCAATAGCTAAAATCAGTGGAGAGTGATATTTAAACCGGACCTCGGCACTCCCCTCTTCAACATGATTGACTCAGTGTGGGGAGGAGGCCTTCATCCAACTGTGAATTGAGAAAGGGTGATACATTATATTAATATTATTGTATTATTACAGCAAGTTGCTATCTAGGCTGTAAGAATTTGAGTGCTATCTTCTCTTGGAGGTATTTCTGGATGAAGTAAATTAAAAGTGAAATCATTTGTCAATCCACTGCTGTATGTTGAACTTCTTTCGCACCATACGTAGCCGGCCGTGTCGGTCACGAGGGTGGTTTGACCAGCCTTAACTGCGCTGGTCAGTGCGAGTTCGTGAAGGGTGTCTATGATAGCAATCGCCACTTATGTTAGCTGCGGCAAGGAATGATAGTCAGGCCGCCAGGTTGATAGCGCAATGCTCTACAACCACAACACCACCCCTTTCCTGAGTATACGATCAACTGTCATACAGGTAAATAGATGCAACAGTTTGCTTTAAAGCAATATTTAACCACTAGAGTGCAGGATGTTGTCATTTTTATACCAATATAGTGGGGATTGTGGAAGAATGCAAATGTGCCACTACGTTAAGTACACAATACCTTGCTGATCTCATCAAGGAGCATAAACCATCGTGCACCACACTCCCGGTCATCCTCGCAGCGGCTTTTAGCTGGCCATCGAACAAAGACAGTGACCACATCGCGTGCTTTCATATGCGCTTCTGCGGCTGTCTGGAAAGCTCTTCCCTCCGATATTAGAACGCCACTGGAGCTATGCACTTTTAAATGATCTAGATTGACAAACGTATTTCTTTAGAACTGCTTTTTGCGTTTAGTTTGTTGTCCTTCCCCTGCACGGTTTGCTACTCAAGGTGCGAAAGTAGTTCAAGATACGTAGATAAATATTAACTCAAAGCACTCACAGGTTAAGGTTTAATGCAAGAAACTGTGCACCATACAGTAGACTAAAATTAATCAAACATTAACTAAAATATCCATGCACATACTTCAAATAAACCTTACTTTAACTTTACCAGAAGTGGTGTTACTTATGGAAACAGGCCAAAAACACATCACATTTTTGTCATTAATTACAGACTTATAGTTGTAATATACACACGTCTATACTGTATTCAGTTAGATGCAATGACCTTTTATCAGAGCAGAAAGGTCAGTTAAAATGATTTACTACAGTTAAATGAATTGGTTTTTTCCAGTACAAGCAAAGTCCATTATACAATGTAAACCAATTTATACAACACCTCAAACATGCTGATTGACTCAAAATTAACAGTTGCCGGCATGTACGAACCAGAATCAGAATCCAAATGTTTATTTGTACTGGAGGAATCCAAAGAGCTATAAAGCTCTTTATCACAAATGTCTGTAAAGGTCAGCATTGCCCATCGATTAATTTCCAATATCCTCAGCGCTTTTTGTGTTTGGCCCTCATGCATAGAACAATTTCCCAAACTCCAATCCCCGCGAATCCACCAATTCATATGCTCGACGAACCACGGACAAGCGTGCCCGTGCTCTGCAGTCCTTTATATATTAAGGTGGTATGGGCCAATTACCGAGAGTTTGTTTACGTGCGGGAGGAAACCGGAGCGCCCGGAGAAAATTCACGCATACGAGACACAGCAAGCTCAGGTGACCAATTTGTTTTTACCAGGTAAAAACCCACCGAAACGACTTGGCCACAAATGATAGCTCAACGAAGTGGCATATCACGTGGAGATTCATAGAAGATAAAACATTCTAAACGCACGTTTCTAAATATGGAAGGAAAAACCGGAGGACTCGGGAGAAAAATCCACTGGACCACGGGGAGAGAGAGAGAGACGCGCAAACTCCAAATATCACAGCAGCAGAGATCGTGAGCGTGGGGATCGATCCCACGACCTCCTGCACACCAGGCAAGGTAGTTAACATCTCGTCACCGTGCATAACCACCATCGCTATTCAACCATTGTAAATCACGGCATTTAACTTCTACATTGGCCGCAATACTGCAAATATCCCCATTCCATACATGCACGGCCCATTTGTCAATCCACTGCTGGATGAGGTCTTCTCCACGCTATGCCGAGTCGTGCGGGAAATCTACAGTTCACGGTCCACCCTAAACCTCATCCACCACACAAACCACGGCAGTAGACGGAGGACAGCTGACGCACAAATGGAAACTTAAAAAGTCACCAATAGCAGCGTGCGACTGCGGACGTCCAGAACAGAGACCATGACGACCAATAACGACGCAATTCCCCGATCCACAAATACGAAAGAGACATCACTATGATGATTATCCCCGCTGCTCCTGACGCGGTTGTCCGCTGGCTTGACCGCCTGAATGTGAGACTGTAGTTGTTGTTGTTGCTGCTCTGCATCTCTATCAGCAGCCATACGAAAGAAGTATACAGTATGACCATACTGCACCTTCCAGGATGCATTTGCACTTCAAGGGCATTTAAATGCCCCCGGATTGTTGAAAATTTAAATGCCGAAAGGGCCAGGACTATGTACATTAGTACACTCTTTAAGGCGAAGTATTTAATAGTTAACAATGAAAGTAAAAGTAACTCCCTGCTAAAAAAAACCGTGATGGTTATATAAGCCCCACGCATGGAAATTCCACATTCCAATGACGGGTCCTAGGCCGGCCATAAAATAAACTCCCGTTGGTTTCCAACAGGAATACATTGTTTGAATATTATTTAAGGTCTCACGTTTAAAAACAACTGATTATGTATAAAACAATTAGCTATAACATAGTTTGATATAAAAACATTAAGTTTATTGAAAGTGTCCGAGGTAAATGTGGGCCTATGCACGTCCAGTATACTTTATACAGTGCTTTAACAACATTTTCTAACGCATTGTCACCCCACTGCCGAAAGCAACTTGACTAAAAAAAAGACACACACAACCTTAACACTTAAAAATCAACTTTGAAAAGTTAGCGGGCACAAAAATCCCCTCACGACCACAACTACACTTTGCGTCACTTACGCAGAGACGTCTTTGCCGCTCAGTAACACCGCTGCCATTGCACGCGTGCGTGTGTGTAACACTTCGGGAGTTCTTCGTTACGCGAGTCAGTCGCCGACGATTTAAAACACGCTTGCCTAAGGTTGTATATGTTTCGATTACTAACGCTCGCGTTTAATTGCTTTGCAGAAGTTTTCAATCGGAGCTGAGGGGAAAGTTTGCCTGAGGTGGGAGGATGGCGGGAAACGGAGAAGCGACGGTGGCGCGAGCTCGAATTTAAGGCGCGCGCGCGCGACAAGGCCGGGCGGTGAGGGGGGGGCGGGGCCTCAGGACTAACAGGGGGCGAGGCCTATTAGAGGGATGGGGGGGTGCGAGAATAAAGCGTGGCTATTGGTGAAGTGATGAGGGAGGGAGGAGTCTGATTGAGCTCGTGGGCGGAGTCGCGGCTCGGAGGGGCGGGGGGGGTGTTTATATAAGATGCGTGGGTCATGAGAAACACGTGGTGGGTTTAGGACGCAGTAGTTTCAGTTTCATTTATTAGTTGTAGCCCTGTGAGCCATGTGGCTCTTGACTCGGGTGCAACAGCAACAAACAAAAACATGAACAAAGAATTCACAACAGAAAATCCAGGAAAAAACAGCAAAGTCTTCCAGTAAAAACACCGTATATCAACGCTGTGTGCAAAAATCCCAGTGAGATGCAAGTCAAATAATAACCATACGACAATTTAGATTAAAGTTATCAGGCTAACTCTGTAGTTCAACAAACATGGCTAAACCAAGCGTTTTCGTAATCACCAAAATAAAGCTATAAAAGCAATGTAATAGTGATCATAGAAACTGTGATTCAAATTTAACAATAAACGATATACATAACATGTACGACCAAACTTCGCAGCCATAGCTGGCAGCATGAGTCACTCTATAACAGCAGGAGTATCAGTCGGAGTATCAACATTTTTCAGGAGTAGTAAGGAGGCTATCTCGATCGGTATAATCCACAATGGGGGGGGGTGGGTTTAGGTTAGGTCGCATAAATGTGTCGATAAACACGTGGTGAGGTTGAGCTGCAAATGTTGAATGAAGCCAACGCGTGTTTTTTTGGGTTGCTTTGGCGCGCACAGGCCAACAACAACACAGCGCATTCCTCAACAACGCTGCGCCGGCTTGACATGAATATTACTGCGATGGGTGACGTTTCGAGCAAATGCCCCTTCGTGTGATGAATTGCCTGTTATATATTAACTAGCTTGTTAGCCCGTCCAAAGACGGGTGTATTGCAGTAAATCTGAAATATTCAATAAAAAAATTGTGCAGCTCATGATTATTAATGGTGGAGGTTGTCCCAATTTGGAGTGACGTCACCCCCTCAAGGTTATTGGGGAGGGGTGCGGCATGTGGATTGACGTCACCCCCTCGTGGTTATTGTGGAGCGGTGCGGCATGTGGAGTGACGTCACCCGCTCATGATTATTAATGAGGGGGGCTCATGTGTGGAGTGACGTCGCGCGCGGGACACACATTCTTGACTCATTATATTAGTAATTTTTAAGTCCGCAGTGTTGGTGCCTAAAAACAAGGGTCGCGAGGCAGGGGGTGTCGCGGTGGGGGGGTGAGGTGACGAGGTCACGTGGTGGAGCTCGCGCCACGACCACGCGGTCGGCGAGCGTGGAAAGTGGTGGCGACGTCACAGGGCGTTACTAATGTCAATCCACTGCTGGATGAAGTGGCGGTGTTGTCTATGGTTCGGGCAGCTCGTGTCGGTTCGTGAAGGCGGGCGCTGGGGGGGGCGTGGCAAGTACCGTGCAATGGATTTTGCTGCACTCCCCCCCTCTGCTGCACACAACGTAGACTTCTGCTTTATTTGCACGGTGGGCATCCGTCCAAGCGCGATCCAGGCTCAATACATGTACGAGATGGGGCGCCATTCCGCGTGAAGCGACATCGACAAATAACTCCCCCCGACTCTTGGGTTTTCCAATTTGGCAAATTCTCATTCGCCGCGTCGTGCATGTATACAGTGTTACTGTAAACGTGTTTCTGGTGTTGGGAATTATGTTTTAACGCATATCAGTTTTATAAACCCTTTCTACTCTCAAACAAACAGTTCAGTTTATTTTGGTATAGCCCTATGAGCCATTCGGCTCTTGAATCGGGTGCAACCACAACAAAAAAAAACACGAACAAGAAAAACATCACGTTTATGAGCACAATACTCATCGAAAACCCCCCTGATATCTGCTCACCCCATGTTTTATTATATTTGCAGCCTCACATTGATTTAACGATTTCTGTAAGTAAAAAAACATTGATCAATAACACTGCCTTCAAAGGCAAAATATGAATGTGTAATGGTAAGTTGCGGGGAATGACCCTTCATATTTACGTGCTGTGAAAAAGGGTCGTTGCCCGAAACGTCGCCTATTTTCCCTTCAAGCCCACAGTTGTTGACAGCGCAAGCTTCAAAGAGCTATGGTTGTCAGCAGATGGCAGTGGCGGGCCATGCTCCCACCGCTTATCGTCCACGCGCGCCTCCACCCACCGAGTGGCGTTGGTGAAGTACGACAAACATAATCCCCAAGCCCTACAACGGCGGTCGGGGAGGCCCTCATCCAGCAGTGGATCGATTAAGGGTCAATGAGAGACGCGTGGCACTGGACTCATTGAATCCATTGATTTCACCACAGCGGTAGCAAGCCGCCCACGTGCGTCGCTTTACGATAATTTGCCTTACGGCAGCGGTTGTCGTGAAGGACGCGTGACGGTTGAACCGTCGTAAATCAAGGGTTACGGCAGCATGTCGCAAAGCGTGACGGCAGCTGGGTCGTAAAGTCGGTTTACAGGGAGCGCTTTGCGACAGTCGTCTCCAGCCCAACGTGCAGCGCTGGTGTGGTGAGTGTGTGTGTGTAGTGAGTGTGTGTGTGGTGTGTGTGGTGTGTGTGTGTGTGTGGTGAGTGTGTGTGGTGAGTGTGTGTGGTGAGAGTGTGTGTGGTGAGTGTGTGTGTGGTGAGTGTGTGTGTGGTGAGTGTGTGTGTGGTGAGTGTGTGTGTGGTTTGTGTGTGTGTGTGGTGAGTGTGTGTGGTGAGTGTGTGTGGTGAGAGTGTGTGTGGTGAGTGTGTGTGGTGAGTGTGTGTGGTGAGTGTGTGTGTGGTGAGTGTGTGTGGTGAGTGTGTGTGGTGAGTGTGGTGTGTGGTGAGTGTGTGTGGTGAGAGTGTGTGTGGTGAGTGTGTGTGATGAGTGTGTGTGGTGAGTGTGTGTGGTGAGTGTGTGTGGTGAGTGCGTGTGGTGAGTGTGGTGAGTGTGTGGTGAGTGTTTGTGTGGTGAGTGTGTGTGTGTGGTGAGTGTGTGTGTGTGGTGAGTGTGTGTGGTGAGTGTGTGTGTGTGGTGTGTGTGTGGTGAGTGTGGTGAGTGTGTGTGTGTGGTGAGTGTGTGGTGAGTGTGTGTGTGGTGAGTGTGTGTGTGGTGAGTGTGTGGTGAGTGTGTGGTGAGTGTGTGTGTTGTGAGTGTGTGTTTGTGGCCAGTGTGGTTGGTGTGTGTGGGGAGTGGTGAGTGTGGTGTGTGTGGTGAGTGTGGTGTGTGTGGTGAGTGTGTGTGGTGAATGTGAGTGGTGAGTGAATGGTGAGTGTGTGTGGTGAGTGTGTGTGTGTGGTGAGTGTGTGTCTGCATGGTGTGTGTGTGTGTATGGTGTGTGTGTGTATGGTGAGTGTGTGTGTGTATGTGTATGGTGAGTGTGTGTGTATGGTGAGTGTGTGTGTGTATGGTGAGTGTGTGTATGTATGTGTATGGTGAGTGTGTGTATGGTGAGTGTGTGTATGTATGTGTATGGTGAGTGTGTGTGTGGTGAGTGTGTGGTGAGTGTGTGTGTGGTGTGTGTGGTGAGTGTGTGTGTGTGTGTATGGTGAGTGTGTGTATGTATGTGTATGGTGAGTGTGTGTGTGGTGAGTGTGTGCGGTTAGCGCGCTGCGCTATGAACCTGGCGACCCGGGTTCGATTCCCGCTCACGGCCAACACCAGGTGACGATTATCTGAACCGGTCCCGGGCCTTCCCTAGGTCGACTCAGCCTCAAATGAGTACCTGGCGCGGTGTGTAAACATCGCCACTAGGGAGACAAAGGCGGTCGGGCGTGGTGCTGGCCACCCACCCCTCGTGTACCGTTCCGGCCTTCATAGGTGCTCGCTAACAGCACTTGCCCCTACAGTCTGCAAAGGGTATATGGGGGATCTTTGTTGTTTTGTGGTGAGTGGTGAGTGTGTGGTGAGTGTGTGGACTGTGTGTAGTGTGAGTGTGTGTATGCGGGGAGTGTGTGTGGTGAGTGTGTGCGGTGTGTGGACAGTGTGTGGTGTGAGTGGTGAGTGTGTGTAGTGAGTGCGTGTGTGTGTGGTGCGTGTGTGCATGCGGGAAGGTTGCGTGTGTGTGGTGAGTGTGTGGTGAGTGCGTGTGTGTGGTGAGTGTGTGTGTGTGGTGTGTTTGTGGTGAGAGTCTGTGTGGTGTGTGTGGTGAGTGTGGTGAGTGTGTCTGGTGAGTGTGTGTGGTGAGTGTGTGTGTGTTCAGATGAGCGTGTGTGTGTAGCGATAGTGTAGTGGTTAGCGTGCTGCGCTACAAACCCGACTTCCCGAGTTCGATTCCCGCTCACGGCCACTTCCAGTGACAATTAACTAAACCGGTCCTGAGCCTCCCCTAGGTCGACTCAGCCTCAATTAAGTACCTGGGTGCGGTGTGTAGTAAACATCGCCACTGGGGAGACAAAGGCGGTCGGGCGTGGTGCTGGCCACCCACCCCCTCATGTGCCGTGCCGGCCTTCATAGGTGCTGGCTAACGGAACTTGCCCCTACAGTCTGTTACAGGCTATACGGGGGATCTTTGTCTTTGTGTGTGAGGCTGATGGGGTGAGTGTGGTGAGGGTGAGTGTGTGGTGAGAGTGTGTGTGTTCTTGAGAGAGAGTGGGGATTGTCAAAATATATTTTGCGAGTGGTGAGGATGTGTGGTGAGAGGGTTTTGTGAGAGATTCATTTGCGTGGTGAGGTGATGGTGAGTAAGTTTAGGATGTTAACTAGGTGGCAAGATGTTAACTACCTCGCCTGGTATGCAGGAGGTCGTGGGTTCGATCCCGACCCTGATCCCGCTGTATATTTGGAGTTTGCGTGTCTCTCTCCCCGTGGTCGCGTTGATTTTTCCCCGGGTCCTCTGGTTTTCCCCTCCACATGAAGAACCAACGTTCCTTTAGACTAGTTATTGGCTGCTATACATTTCCACACGCTAAGCATTCCTTTTCGATAGCCAGGTCGCTTCTGAAAAAGAACTATTATAGCTCAGTGGGCCTCACCCGGTAAAATAAAATGTAGTTCATTTTTGGCCATTCCCAAAGAGTTCATTTGAACACTGTTTCTTAACGTCCCAATCTGCTGTAAACCCGTAAGTGGCGTCAATGATCCCTGCCCTCCCTTTGCGCTGGAGAAGCGGGCCCGGTCGAGAGTGGACCGTGCACTGCACAACGTGGTAAATATATTTGCCGTACACCGTCTTTCGTCGATCGCGTGGCAAGTTCGCGCACATTTCCACGTGCAGGTTTCAGCGACGTCCGTGAGCCCTCTTATTGAGAGCGTCGGGGACTCGGAGAGGTGTGTTCGTAAGCCGGTTTGTTCGTAAGTACAACTTTACTCCTTTCGATTTCAAGCACGTGTTGTGCGGCGTGTACACTAAACACGGGGGATGGCTTTAAAAGTTGAATAGTCTCCTGCAGATGGAATTCCGGTCATCCTGGCGGTGGCTTTTGTTTCTGGCCGTCGAACAAAGACGGCCACTTCATGCCGCGCTTTCAAGATGCGCTTCCGCGGCCGTCTGGGAACGCTCTTCCTTCCGATATTAGGAAGCTACTGGAGCTATGCACTTTTAAATCATCATCTAGATTGACAAACTCATTTCTTTAAAAGTGATTTAGATGTTTGGTTTGTTATCCCTCCGCCGTACCTCCGATTAGCACGGTTTGGATGCGTACCGTGTGAAAGAAGTTCAGCGTACATATGTATAACAAGAAGGATGACAACTCGGGGAAATATGTTGGCGTCATCAAAATCGCTCCCCCCCCCCCCCGATTTATTTAGTTGAGGTGAGCAGATATGTATCTTCTTTTAACGGGCCCATCGGCCAATTGTAGAGTACACTTGAATATAAATTGATGTTCTTCTTTGGTTCTTTCGGTAAAGTCACGTAGAATGAGAATAAAATAATAAATTGATAAAATAAAATAACACAATAATATTCTCACGACGTTTCGGCCACAACACAAGCGGCCTTCATCAGGTGAAGGGAGCGAGACTGTCTGCTCCCTTCACCTGATGAAGGCCGCTTGTGTTGTGGCCGAAACGTCGTGAGAATATTATTGTGTTATTTTATCAATTTATTATTTTATTCTCATTCTACGTGACTTTACCAAAAGAACCAAAGAAGATGAATCATTGCAGTCACGAAAGCTTTAAATCGAAAAATAAATTGATGTTGTATATTACGTGTTGTTTTCAGTGAGGCACTGATTAGAGCCAAGTCTGTGAGTGAATGCGACTTGTCACACGGAGCTCATACGGTATCTCCGTGCCGTTCATTTCACTGAAGTTAAACGTGCATCCGAATGCTAACGAAGGAACGCACACATACATCATTGAAACCGTCCACAAAGGTAGCTAAGTGGGCCAGGGCACGTCGTGCTGTAGGAGGGAAGGTGGCAGCCGAGGGAGGTCACGCGGCAGCCGTGGGAGGTCACGTGGCAGCCGAGGGAGGTCACGTGGCAGCCGAGGGAGGTCACGTGGCAGCCGAGGGAGGTCACGCGGCGTCCGAGAGGGCATCCACCGGGGAGGCGGAGCAGTGAAATCCGTTTGGGCGCAAGCTGCTGGGGCAGAGGATCCTTGCAAACGCGGAGCCCCCTGGCGGGATGATGGCAGCAACCTGGAGGGGTGGGGTAGAACGCGTCGAGCATCTGATTTGATCGCGGCTCACGACGAGGAGGACAACGAGGACGAGCACCGGTTGGCGGCGTACAGGTGCCAAAGAGCTTCAAATTGCGCACGCGAAGGCGGCGTTCATGACCGGGGCGTCGCCGTGAGATTGTTTTCGTGATCCGCTGCCAAACTCTTTTTGTTGTCGTGGCTTTGGCGCAGTGATCGGCTTATCGGCTCGCGCAGCGCGGTGCGCTCGTGCGGCACGCCGTTAGTCCGTTGCCGAACACGGCGCGGCCTTTTTTTGCCCACCCCCCCCGCCCCGTCCCGCATGCAACATTTTCAACGCGCGACGTTTTGCCCGCTCGCAAAAAGTCACGACGAGCGGCTGCACGTTGACGCCGGGGCCGCGTTTTGTTGGTCGCGTCCGCGTAATCCCCTCGACACAAAGCCTCGTCGCGCAGGGGGAGGGTGGTGGCGGGGGTGGCGGGGACCCTCGGCTGACCCCGCGTTGTTGGTTACAGGCTCGGGTGTTTGGAGTGGGGTGCCGAACAAAACGAGGGCTGAGGTGGAAGCGGCCACGTTTGTTTGAGCGACCTCTCGCAAGGAGGGGGGGGGGGGTGGGAGTGGGGGGGGGGGGCAGGTCCGGAGAGCGCTGCCTGAGAGAAGACGAGGAGGGTGAGGAATGTCGGTCACACAGAGCTGCAAGCCCCGGCTTGCGTCCCGCACCTCCCGCTCGCTCGCTCGCTCGCTAGCGCTCGCTGTCTCACAACGCCGCTCATGAAATATCTGAAATGGAAATCCTTTAATATATATAAACAAGGGGGGAGGCTTTTTCTATATTCCCCTTTGTGTGTGGTTCTCGTGCAACGTCAACACCTCCTTTGGGTTTGACCGTTTTGGCCGGGACCTCACCTGGCTTACGAATGACTTGGCACGTGCGTGTGTGCTTGTGTTGGGGGTAGCCGTGCAGGCCCCTGGCTTATGAAATGCAAGTTCCTGTTGAGTTTTTTATTTTTATTGCAACGGCAACAAAACAAGCGGCGTGTTTGCTCACGCAAGCCGGCCCTCGGGGGCCTGTTGCGTAGCATTTTTTGCAAGGTGACTCGCGCGGCAGCAAACCTTTACGGTATTCGTATTCATAATAACAATGCACGTTGCGTGATCGGAAGGGACTCGCGGAGTCTCACGAGTCCTCAGGTGGATCCCGCTACGTTGGGGCGCCGCGGTGGCGAGACGTTAACTACCTCGCCTGGTGTGCAGGAGGTCGTGGGTTTGAGGTGGCTAGGAGATGTTAACTACCTCGCCTGGTGTGCAGGAGGTCGTGGCTGTGATCCCGACCATGACGCCTGCTGCTGTATATTTGGAGTTTGCATCTCTCTCGCTCTCCCTGTGGTCGTGTGGATTTTTCTCCAGGTCCTCCGGTTTTTTCCCCTGCACATTTAGAATCAACGTGCGTTTTAGAGTATTTGGCTGCTATACATTCCCACACGATAAGCCACTTCGTTGAGCTATCACTTGTGGCCAGGTCGCTGTATAGCTCAGTGGGCCTTACCTGGTGAAATGTAATAACTTTTAGTTTTTTTACGTTGGGATGTTTGGCCAGTTCCCCGAATGAGAGTTTGGGGGGGGGGGAAACCGGAAAACCCAAAAGGAAAAAAACGCCGTGCTGGACTACGTGGAGGTGATGCCCCAGCACCGCCATCTCCTGGCCACACCTCGGGCACCTCCACGCCTACAACACCTGGCAAGCCCTGATCGGTGGCGGTTCACCGAAGCAGGCGAGGTGCGACGAGATCGGACGCGTCCCGCCGATCGATTCAACTGCGGGGGACAAATGTTTCCTTCCAAGACAGTGTCCAGGACTGCTAGACTTCATCTAAGCGAAGGACCTTTTTAAAGTTTCCTGTTTAGGAATTCCCCGCTAATGATCCCCGTGGCATCGCCAACGAAGAAAACGAGCGTGTGGCACACCTGAGATGTCTCGATCGCATCGGAGTTTTTGTCTTGCGAATGAAGCTTCGTCGGCTTCGTGGTAAAAGCCCCAGGCACACAGTGCCTAAGGCTGTGCAGCTGCAAGTGCCGTTATTACTTACCGTCACCAAAACAATCACCACCATCGGCCACCATCACCACCAGCACTTTCCCCACTACTATCAGCAGCATCACTACTTTCATCACCACAGCCATCACCACCATCATCACTACCACCACCTCCTCCATCACTACCCTCATCACTACGATCACCGCCACTGTTACTATTCGCACCTCCGATTAGCACGGTTGGCTACGTACGGTGCGAAAGAAGTTCAACCTACACACATACATGCATACATTACTGCTACCACATCATAACTTGCTGACCCGCCCGTACTGGACACCTGCAAAAACGAGCTTCTCAGCTCATTGGATTCCTCCTCCAATCTAAGTAAAGATTCTGATTCCAAACTTGCCTTAAGTCTAATGGTGATCTTTGCGCGATCCACCAACCCCTGCAGACGTCCGCCATGGACGAGGAGGAGCAGCGCCTGTACGTGGAGCGCCTGCGAGCCGAGTTCTATGCGTGCTGCTCGCCCCGCTCGCCCTCACCGCACGGGCGCCACGGCGATCGCCGCGGCGATCACCACGGGGATCACCACGGGGAGCCGGAACTTCACGCGGAACACGCGGACAGAACGTTGGCCCGAGATGGAGAAGGGGTGGACGGGAGGATAGACGAGCAGGTAGGAGTGAGGTCGAGCGAGCGGGTGGACGTGAACCCAGAAGGCGGAGCGGACCAGCGGCTCGGAGCGGACGGCCTGTGGGAGCTGTGTCGCCGGCTGGAGATGCAGGACAGCGCGCCGCTGCTGCTGCAGACACTGCTGGGAGGAGGAGGCGACGGGAAGGTGAGTGCGTGTGCCGGTGTGCGTGGGGAGCGGTGGTGTAACGGTCAGCGCGCTGCACTACGAACCCGGCGACCCGAGTTCGATTCCCGCTCACGGCCACCACCGTTGACGGTTATCTGAACCGGTCCTGGCCCTCCCCTAGGTCGACTCAGTCTGAAATGAGTACCTGCGACGTGTAAACATCGCCGCTGGGACTATGAGAATCAGAATATTAAAAGGTGGCCGGGCGTGGTGCTGGCCACCTACCCCCTCGTGTACCATTCCGGCCTTCATAGGTGCTACTCGCTAACGGCACTTGCCCCAATGGTCTGTTAAGGCTACACGGTGGGATCTTTGTCTGTGTGTGTGTGTGCCACCGTACGTCGGCAGGTGTCGTTTGACGAGTTCAAGGAGGGATTCGTGGCTGTGCTGTCCAAGGTGCTGACACTGAGCTCCTCCTCCTCGGACGAGGAGGACGATACCAGTTTCCTAGAGCCCGGTGCGTCGCGCAGAACCACACTGCAACCACACCGCAACCGCACAGCAACCACACCACAACTGCAATGCAGCCACACCGTAATCGCACCGCAAGAAAACCACAACCGCACCGCAATCACACCGAAATCGCACCGCAATTGCACCAAAATGACACTACAATCACACTGAAACCGGAACCAAAATTGCAATGCAACCGCACTGCAATCATATCGCAATCGCACCCGAATGACACCGCTTATCACAGCGCAACCGCACCGCCACCGCACCGCCATCGCAGCGCAGCCGAATCGCCTGCTAGGATCTCCGCCGAATCGCCTGCTAGGATCTCCGCCGAATCGCCTGCTAGGATCTCCGCCGAATCTTCTGCTAGGATCTCCGCCGAATCGCCTGCTAGGATCTCCGCCGAATCGCCTGCTAGTATCTCCGCCGAATCGCCTGCTAGGATCTCCGCCGAATCGCCTGCTAGGATCTCCGCCGAATCGCCTGCTAGGATCTCCGCGATACGGCGATGCTCCGAAACATCGTACGATGTCAGAGCCGCGGTCATCGTCCCATACGTTTTTGGGAAGGACATCGTCGCCTCTTGATGAGCGTTCCTCGTTTAATATTGCTTAACTATTTCATTTCCCAACAAAATCGTCTGTCGAGCGACGAACTTCGAGTAGCCACTCTTGTCAATAAATGCAGCCGTTAGTTTGGCGGGGTGCATAATAGCGGGGGGCGTTTTTTGTTTTTTGCCCCCCGACGCATTTGACGGCGGCGACTTCATCGCGGCGATGGTGACGACACGCGCCCTGTGCGTTTGCTCCGTCTGTCGTTAATAATGCACGCCCGTTCACGCGGCACTCGGGCAGCTGTTGTCTCAACGCAGCCAGACGCACGCACGCACGCACGCACAAGACAATGACAAAGATCTCCCGTGTAGCCTTTAACAGGCTGTCGGGGCAAGTGCTGTTAGCGAGTAGCACCTATGAAGTGGGTTTGGTGGCCAGCACCGCGCCCGGCCGCCTTTGTCTCCAGAGTGCCGATGTTTGCACATCGTGCCAGGGAAGGCCAGGATCGGTTCAGATAATTGTCACCGGTGTTGGCCGTGAGCGTGAATCGAACTCGAGTCGCGGGGTTCGTAGCGCGGCGTCGCGCTAACCGCTACGCTAACGCTCGCGCACAGAAAGACAAAGTCACACACGCCGATACACTCGCTCGCACGCACACCCGCGGGCGCCGCCCTTTGTTCAGACGCACCACCCCCACCCGCCCGCCCGCCCGCCTCTGCTCGCAAAACAACATCTGTTCACCCCGAAGCCAACTCGGGAGCAGCGCGTTGAGAGTGCGCAGGCTGTGCAACTGCACGGGGTCCCACTGGCCGGAGGGGCCCAGACACAAAGCGGGGAAGGAAATTTCACAAAGAGGGGCGCCTCCCCCCCCCCCCCCCCCCCCCCCCCCATCCAATTACTTGCACCGGAGCTCGCGCCAACTGCGTGCCACGCCACCGGTCGCTCGCCAGTAGTGGTGCCACCGGTCGCTCGCCAGTAGTGGTGCCACCGGTCGCTCGCCAGTAGTGGTGCCACCGGTCGCTCGCCAGTAGTGGTGCCACCGGTCACTCGCCAGTAGTGGTGCCACCGGTCGCTCGCCAGTAGTGGTGCCACCTGTCGCCCGCCACCCTCGCGCCAGCTCGCGGCTCTCCCAGGCGGCGGCGGTGATGGGACCGCCGTTGTTTTGCCGCCGTCTTTGACCGCAGCCGTGACTCGTGAGTGGCCCTTCGCGTTTGCTCCCGTGGGTGCCTGGTGGTCCTCCACCGATTCCTCCTCCCGCTGATCGTCCTCCTCCTCCTCCTCCTCCGTCGCCGCGCTGGTCCCGCGCGTGCGTATTGCCCGTGCGTTTGTTTCTCCCATCTTCATATCATCGTCATCGTCGTCGGTGTGCGTGCGCGCACGCAGTGCTGGAGACGCGGCCCCGCATGGTGAGGGGCGGGAAGTGCTACGGCCGTCGCTCCGTCCCGGAGGCCGCGCTGCGCCGCTCGCCGCCGGGCGGCACCGCCGCCGGGGATACCGGGGGGGCGGCCGCCGTCGCGAGAGCCGGGGGGCGCGCGCCGTGCCGCTCCGCATCCCTCGACAGCGTCGACGTGAGTCCACGGCCCGGCACCCCGCACTCTCCACAGCTCGCCAACACTCGCTCGCCAACACTCGCTCGCCAACGCACTCGCCAACGTTCACACTCATCAACCAATGCCCACCATTCTCCACTGAGTGACGGTGACGTCACCACGGCGCATGTGCCAGGCCAGTTGCACTTTGAGGCCACGTGAAGTGTCGAAGGCTCGCTGACAGCAGGTCTCGGGACAGACCCACCTGTACCCCCTACTGTACCAACTTGCTGCATTTTAGCTGCCCGACACTCTGCTCGTTGTTGTGAGCGTCGCGCCTATGCCCTCCGTTGTTACTGGACGGCGACTGCCTCTAACTGCCCAATAGCAGCGTCCTTCACGAGCCTCCTCCATAGAGGCCAATCTTGACACCGCTGGTACCGGTCGTCGGCAAGTCCTCTCAGCTCCACATCCTCCTGTACCACATCACTCCATCTCTTCTCTAGCCCGTGCCTGGGTATTTTGTGCCACAAAACACTCCACCCCCTCAGCTCCCCATTGGTGATGGAGCAGTTGTGGCGAGAATGGAGAGTTTCCCCATACCTGGGTAGTGCGCTTATGACCAGCTCCGGTTTGACAGCAGAGGTCTCACTCAGAATCAGTCGGACAGCATTATCTTATCATTGGCTGCGCAATGCTGTGTGGAAGCTACCTGGTCTTTCGCTCTGCACGAAGCTTCGGGTCATCTCGGCCACAGTCGCTCACCAACACTCACAGCCTCACCAACACACACACATTGACACTCACAAACACACTCACCAACACACACACTCACCAACATGCACACTCGCCGACACACACACAGACACCCACTCGCACAGCTCACCCAACAACAACAGCAACCGCCATTCGCCACTAAGTGGCGGTGACGTCACCACGGCGCTTGTGCCAGGCTATGTGCGCGTCGAGGCCACGTGAAGTGTCGAACGCCCGCTGGCAGGAGGTCACGGGGCAGACCCAGGTGCCACGGGACGACTGGCTGAGACGACTGGGCCGATGCACCATCTGTGCCAAAAATATTATACAGCGCACCCACACTCACACACACACCCCAACAAACAAAGACAAAGATCACCCGTATTGCCTTAACAGACTGTTGGGGCAAGAAAGGATGGGCGGCATAGACGCAGTGGCGAGCTCGCCGCGCTATGAACCGGTGACCCGAGTTCGATTCCCGGCCTCGGCCAACGTCAGCGGTGAGCGCCGTCTGAACCACCTTACCAGGTTACCCCCCGTCACCAACCCGCACTGACCGGCGCGGTGAAGTACGGTCAAATCACCTCCGCGACCGACACGGCACGGAGGAAGCTCCCTGTCATCCAGCAGTCGGGCGACACAACGAGCCGTAAAAAATATTATAATGACATAATTATAATAAATCCTCCTGTGCAGAGTTTGCCGAGCGAGGAGGAGGACGAGCTGATGGGCGAACGCGACCTGGAAACCGAGACCCTGGAGTCTGAAGGTGACGCTCGACCCGGCTACGCGGGCTCACCCGCGGCGAGCACCGCGCTCGTGCCGTGCCTGGTGCTGTGAGTTGCCGTGCCTGGTGCTGGTGGTAGTAGTTGTAGCAGGGGAGAGCGGCGGTGCAGCGGCTAGCGCGCTGTGCTGCGAACCCGGCGACCCGAGTTCGATTCCCGCTCACGGACAACACCGGTGACGAATATTTGAAACGGTCCTGGGCCTCCCCTAGGTCGACTCCGCCTCAAGTGAGTACCTGGTGCGGTGTGTAAACATCACCACTGGGACAAGTCATGGTGCTGGCCACCCACCCCCTCGTGTGCCGTGCCGGCCTTCATAGGTGCTCGCTAACAGCACTTGCCCCAACGGTCTCTTAAGACTTTACGGGGAATCTTTGTCTTTGGTTGTCGGAGTGGTCGTGGTGGTAATGATGACATTGATAATGATGGTGGTGACGGTGGCAGCCTTGGGTGAAAGAGATGGTGGCTTCAATGCTTGTGGCATTGTGGGTAGTGCTGGCGGCAGTGATGCCCGCGTTGTGGGTAGTGCTGGTGGTGGCGGGGCGTCGGTGGCCGTTGTTTGAATGGGAGTGGTGGCGTCAGCAGTGGCGTTTCGCTTGCCGCGTGTTCCCGCAGGCCGCCTGCCCTCCTCCGGAGTGGACTGCTACATCCGTTCGCCCACGCGCACCTCCACGCCGCGCAAGGTGGTGAGACCGCGCCCCGCGCTGCCCTCGCCCGCACAGCCGCTCCGTCGCGGCCGAGCTGTCGCTTAACCGCAGCGGTCGCGTGGCACCGCTGACACCTCCCACGGCTGTCCACTGGTGCTTGTCCCTCGCAGTCCGCGCCAGGCGCTGTGCCGGCTCATTGGTCCGTGTAATCATCGCGCTGGCAAGATGTTAACTACCTCGCCTGGTGTACAGGAGGTCGTGGGTTCGTTCCCAATCCTGACGCCCACCGCTGTATATTTGTAGTTTGCTTGTCTCTCTCTCTCTCATCATCATCACGGTGGCTATGAGATGTTAACTACCTCGCCTGGTGTACACGAGGTCGTGGGTTCATTCCCGACCCTGACGCCCGCTGTATATTTGGAGTTTGCGTGTCTCTCTCTCTCTCTCCCCGTGGTCATGTGGATTTTTCTCCGGGACCTCCAGATTTTCCTTCCACATTAAGAACCAACATTCCTTTAGAGTTATTGGCTGCTATACATTTCCACATGATAAGCAATCATTTGTGATAGCCAGGCCGCTTCTGAAAAATAACTATATAGCTCAGTGGGCCTTAGCTGGTAAAATAAAAAGTTTTAGATCTTGTCATCCAGTTTAACTTGGATTGTATTACTTCTTTCTGTTCTCACCATACCTTGTAAGAAGGCGGCCGGGCGTGGTGCTGACCACCCACCTCCCTCGTGTGCCGTGCCAGCCTTCATATAGGTGCTTGCTTAACAGCATTTGCCCCAACAGTCTGTTAGAGGCTAAACGGGGGATCTTTCTCTTGTGTGCGTCAGGGCTGCCGGGCAGTGACCCCTCCCCTCTCCTTCCTCGACGATGGCTCTGGGCTCGTCCCGGCTGCCCGATTGGTCGACTTCTGGCAGCAGGAAGGAGTCCCCGATCCACAGGAAGTGCTGCAGGTCAGAGGCATTGTGGGTAACGAGTGTTAGAGCATTTGATGATGATTGTGGTGGTTTTGTATATGTGTGTGTTTGTGTGTATGCTCACAAACAGCGCTTGCCCCAACGGCTTGAAGGAATCTTTGTCTGTGTGTGCCGTGGGGACCGCTGGGGTGCTGTGGTTTGCACTCTGTGCTCCAAACCCAGCAACCTCAGTTCGATTCCAAACCATGGCTATTCTCGGTGACGATTGATATCTCAACTGGTCCCAGGCCTCCCCTAGGCGAGGTGCAGCCTGCGATTCCTTGTTCACGCCACTGCTGGCGGAAGGCCCTCCACTAATCGCACCTCCGATTAGTGGGGTTGGCTAGGTACAGTGCGAAAGAAGTTAAACATATACACGTACAGTGTGTATTGGTCAAGGCCGTAGCCATGGAGTCAACATTAAGGGGGACCAAATCTTCCAGGGTGTCTGGGGGTCCCAAACCAGAAAAAAAAATCTAAATTTGAAAACTAATTTCCTGCCTAAAATATTTAAAAAATCACTAACACATGGGATGGACTTTTTATTTATTTTTTACAATAATGTCTAATAGTGTATTGTATTAAATTGCTCTGTTTTTACTTTTTTACCATTTCTCGTTTCATTGTATGTAATGGCAGAAATTAGGGTAAAATAAAGTACAACCATAACCACAATCATATAAACAGAAATCTATACATTCATTTATATGAAGACAAGTCCAGATATTGTGGCCAAGGTTTAGCAAATTGTTGTTTTTATTCACATAGCATAGCAATTATATTTTTTAGCATTATATTGGGGGGGGGATATTTTGAGCATATTTGAATATTGGGGGGGATGTGTCCCCCCCAAAATATATTATAAATACGGCCTTGGTATTATTACTCTCCATCCATTCCTCTCCCTCCACCAACTGCACATCCGCCACCAGGTCAGCTCGGCTTTGAATGAGCAACTGGTGCGGTGTGTAACAGTCTTCAAGGCTACATGGACGTCTGTGTCTCTGTAGCTGTGTGTCTGAGTGTGTGCGTCTGTGTGTATCTTGTGTGAGTATCTTTGTAAGTGTGAGTGTGTTTGCAGTCTCTGCTTGTGCGGGGAGCAGTGGCGCAGTGGTTAGCGCTGCGCTGCACTACGAACCCGGCGACAAAACCAGTGACGATTATCTGAACTGGTCGTGGGCCTCCCCTAGGTCTACTCAGCCTCAAATGAGTACCTGGTGCGGTGTGTAAAAGCATCGCCACTGGGGAGACAAAGGCGGCCGCGCGTGGTGCTGGCCACCCACCCCCTCGTGTGCCACTGTGCCGGCCTTCACAGGTGCTACTCGCTAACAGCACTTGCCCCAACGGTCTGTTAAGGCAACACGGGGGATCTTTGTCTTTGTCTGTGTGCAGTCTCTGGGTGTGGGTGGTGGGGGGCTCGTGTCCCTGGCGGAGTTGTGGGGAGCCCTGGAGGGGGAGCTGAGAGCAAGCGGGCAGCCCGCTCACAGGGCAGCCCTCGCCACCTTCACTCAGGAAGTGTCGCACACGCGGTGAATAACACGCACACACACACACACACAAACACAAAGATCCCCCGTGTAGCCTTAACAGACTGTTGGGGAAAGTGCTGTTAGCGAGTCGCACCTGTGAAGGCCGGCGCGGCACACAGAAGGGGTGGGTGCCCAGCACTCGCCCCACAAGTCTGTTGAGGCTATACAGAGGATCTTTGTCCCCGCAGTGCGCATGTGGCAAGCGGTAGCGTAGCGGTTAGCGCGCCGTGCTGCGAGTCCGGCGCCCCGAGTTCGATTCCCGCTCGCGGCCAACACCGGCGACGATTATCTGAACCGGTCCTGGGCCTCCCCTAGGTCGACTCAGCCTCAAATTAGTACCTGGATCGGCGCGTAAACATCGCCACTGGGGAGACAAAGGCGGTCGGGCGTAGTGCTTGCACGCTAACCGCACTTGCCCCAACGGTCCGGTTGAGGCTACACGGGGCTTCTTTGCCTTTGCAGCGCGCACGCGTGGCGTGCGCGGCGTGAGCGGGCCGCCCTCAAGGCCGAGCTGGAGCGAGCGGAGAGGAACAGCGCCGAGTTGGCGCGAGAGGCCGACGAGCGGCTCGCGGCCAGCGCAGCACAAATACGGTACGGCCGCCATTGTCGTCATCGTCGTCGTCATCGTCGTCTTCACCGTCGCCACCATCGTAACCGCCATCACACAATGACCATCGTCGCCATCGTTGCCGTCGTCGCCATCGCGATGATCAACGTCGTCATCGTCGTCACCATCGTCACCGCCATTACGACCAACACACACACCTCAAATCACCACTCGGTGTGGCGAGCACCGCCCCGGGCCGCCATTGTCTCCCCACGCAAACTCCAAATATACAGCAGCAGCAGCAGCAGGCGTCAGGGTCGTGATCTGAACCCACGCCCTCCTGCACACCGGGCGAGGTAGTTAACATCTCACCACCTCAAACCCACGGCCTCCTGCATACCAGGCGAGGTAGTTAACATCTCACCACCTCAAACCCACGACCTCCTGCACACCAGGCGAGGTAGTTAACATCTCGCCACCGTGGGTGGGAAGCAGGGAGCTGGAGCAGGAGCGAGCTGCGCGGGGACGACGCGGCGAGCGTTGGCCGAGCGCCGGGGACCGGGAGGAGCTGGAGGCCTGCGCCCGGCTGCAGTCGCAGCTGCAGGCGCAGCAGCACGGGGAGGCGACGCTGCGCGCTCACATCGCGGCGCTCTGCAAGGTGCGCCGGCGCGTTGAGGGGGCGCCGCGGGTTGGCGAGATCTTAGCCACCTCGCCCGGCGCGGTGTGTAAACGTCGCCGCTTGGGGGAGACAAAGGCGGGCGGCCGGCCGGGCGTGGTGCCCGGCCACCCACCCCCTCGTGTGCCGTGCCGGCCTTCATAGGTGCTGCTGCTCGCTAACAGCGCTTGCCCCGACGGTCTGTTCGGGCTGTAGGGGGGATCTTTGGGCGCCACGTTGGCGAGATGTTAACTACCTCGCTTTGTATACAGGAGTTCGTGGGTTCAATCCCGACCCGGACGCCTGCTGCTGCTGCTGTATATTTGTCTCTCTCCCTGTGGTCGCGTGGATTTTTCTCCGGGTATTCCGGTTTTTCCCTCCGCACTTACAATTAACATCACGCGTTCAGAGTATTTGGCTGCTATATAAATTGCCACGTGACGATGACAAGCCCCTTCGTTGAGCTATCATTTGTGACGGCCAGGTCGCTTCCCAAAAAGAGCTACGTAGCTCAGTGGGGTCTTACCTGGTAAAATAAAAAAATTGTTGTTGGTGTTACACAGTCGGGCCGAGGGCTGGTAGCGAGCAAGCGCCTCTTGTGTCCGGCACGGCACGCAATGGGGGGGGGCGGGTGGCCAGCACCACGCCCGGCCGCCGTGGTCTCCCCTAAGCGGCGACGTTTACGCACCGCACGAGGTGTTCATTTGTGGCTGAGTCGATCTTGGGGAGGGAGGCCCAGCGTCGGTTTAGAACAGGCCTGGACCCAACCCCTCCTTAACACTTTCGTGCCTGTTCTCTTGTCACTAGGATGGCACCAAAACGTTAAACAACAACAACAACAACCCCATTCTTCATCTCAAACCACTGTCATCTTGCGTGCAATTTTATACTCGCTGTGAAGCGCCTTTGGAATAGGCGCTGTCTAAATTTCGATGAGATCGTCGCCGGCGTTGGTGGCCGTGAGCGGGGTACGGACTCGGGCCGCCGGTTCCGTAGCGCAAGCGCTCGAGCCGCTGTGCAGCTGCTCCCCTCTAGTCATTATCACCACCACGCGCATAGCGGGGCGCTCCATGGCCCTGTGCTTACACACCCACACGCTCGTCGAGGTGTGGCTGTGTGCATCATCGACATCAACAAAGACGAAGATCCCCCCCCTATAGCCTGAATAGACTGTTGGTGGCAAGTGCTGTAAGCTGACAGCACCTGTGAAGGCCGGCACTGTGGCACACGAGGGGATGGGGGTGACCAGCACCACGCCCGGCCGCCTTTGTCTCCCCAGTGCCGATGTTTACCATACACCGCACCGGGTCCTCGTTTGAAGCTGAGTCGGCCCAGGACCGGTTCAGATAATCGTCACTGGTGTTGGCCGTGAGCGAGAATGGAACCCGGGCCGCCGGGTTCCTAGCGCAACGCGTTAACCGCTACGCTACCGCTCATCAGCACCACACACGCACGCATAGCGGTCGCTCCCCGAGATCTGTGCGCGCGTGCGCGTGTTATGGAGTCGACTCGCCCATTAAACGAGTACCTGGTGCCGCCGTGTATACAAAAGCATTGGGGAGACAAAGGCGGGATCATCCGCAGAAGAACCCACGCGTGCAAGCGGGCAACACTCTATCCCGTACAGGAGGGACGGGGGGGTGGTGGCGGGGGGGGGAGGGAGTCCACATTTGCTGAGCACCGCCTTCTCCTGGCGAGCCAGGGGTTACCGCGCCTCCTCTCCGACACCCACCCACGGGAAGAAGGGAGTGCTCGCAAAATCTGTGTGCGCGGTGAGCCACCAGCCGTCGTGTGGTGAAATGAGAAGTAGTATTGCTTCTCTTAATCGCCACAGCGATGGCTCCGGTTTGTATGTACGTGTGTTGAACTGAACGCAACGTGTTTATCCCCACCGATCCGCGCGTTCCCTTTTACCGTCGCGCGGTGTAACTGGCTTCACCGCGGCCGGCGGGATCTCAAGAGTGCCCACTCGGTGTCTCTGACGCGGCCGTTTATGAACCCCCTGGGCCACCTTGGCCCACCTTGGCCACCTCTTTGAGTCTCGTTCCGTGCCTCTGCCACTGACGTCGATACAAGCGCAGGCTCCTGATCCCACCGTGCGCTCCAGGGCTTAGCCTCTCACTCAACGCTTCTCCTGGCCGCCGCCGGACCGGAGCAGGTGTCACGTGACCAGTTGTAGCCGGAGCACGTAAGCCAGCGGGAGCGGTATACTGGATGCGGTGTGCCGCAGGGCAAGGAGTGTCTGGAGCGGGAGCTGGTGGACGTCTCGTCGCGACTCTCCGAGTCCCAGGACTCGGTACAGAGACTCACGGAGGACGTGGAGACTCTGCTCACGGACAAGGTGCGGGGCAGGCGTGTGTGTGCGTGTGTGTGCGCGTGTTGTATGTGCGTGTGTGCGCGTGTGTGTGTGCGCGTGTATGTGTGTGGGGAGCAGTAGTGTAGCGATCAGCGCGCTGCGCTACGAACCCAGCGACCCGGGTTCGATTCCCGCTCACGGCCAACACCAGTGACGACTATCTGAACCGGTCCTGGGCCTCTCCTAGGTCGACTCAGCCTCACATTTGTACCTGGTGCAGTGTAGTAAACATCGCCACTGGGGAGACAAAGGCAGTCGGGCGTGGTGCTGGCCACCCACCCCCTCGTGTGCCGTGCCGGCCTTCATCATAGGTGCTACTCGTGAACAGCACTTGTCTTTTAATTGGGGGATCTTTGTTAGCGTGCTGCGCTACGAACCCGGTAACTCAAGTTCAATACCCACTCACGAAAATAATTGAACTAGTCCTGGGCCTCCCCTAGGACGATTCGGCCTTAAAATATGAGTACCTAGTGCCTTATATACATCTCATCGTTGAGGAGACAAAGGCGGCCTTCATAGGTGCTACTCGCTAACAGCACTTGCCCCTACAGTCTGTTAAGGCTGTACAGTGGATCTTTGTCTTTGCAGTTGGCGAGGAGCGATGAGGAGGTGGGGGACGATGTTCTCGTCGAAGAGGAGCGGTTTCAGCACCTCGTCGCCCAGTACGAGCAGCAGTGCAGGGTGCGGCCTCCCTCCTCTCCGTCTCACCACCTCCTCGCTATCCCTCGCATCCTTTCACCTCATCACCACCTCTTCCTCACCATCCCTCGTCTCCTCTTCACCGCCACCTCCTCAACACACATCTCTCCACTCCTTCATCATCCCCGCTTTCATCACCATCCCTCACTGTCCCTCCCTCCAACTCCTCCTCACTGCCCTCCCACGCACCTCTTCACCGTACATCTCTCCACCTCTCACCTCCTCGTCGCCATCTTCTCCACCTCCCCACTTGCACGCACGCACGTTGAACTTTCTTCTTTCGTGCCGCACGGAGCCAACCGTGACGATCGGAGGTGCGGGGTTCGTTGCCAGCGCGGTGGAACGGTGGAACGCTGGGAACGACGTTGGGCCAACGTTTTGCACGTTTACCGGGCCTCCTCTCTGCGGGTGTGCGGCGTCGGCCTTAATAGGTGCTCGCTAACAGCGCCTGTCCAGACGGTGTCTTTTTTGTCGCCTCTCGTCGTCGTCGTGTGTCCCCTCTGACACCCCCCATGTGACCCTTGACCTCTCACCCCTTGCCTCCTGTTGATGTGGCCCAGCGAGTCAAGGTGAGTGGCAGCGCAGCACGGCGCTGCTTCCTGTGACGATGACGACGACGATGACGACGATGATGACGGTGGCGGTGGTGGTGACAGTGATGACAATGGTGGTGGTAATGGTGGTGTGATGGCGGCGTATGTATTTTGAACTTCTTTCGCACCATACGTAGCCAATTGCACTAATCGGAGGTGTGGTAGTGATGGTGGTAGTAATGATGGTGGAGATAACCATGGTGTTGGTGATGATGCTGCTGACTAAGATAATAATGATGGTGATTATACTTTTGTTGATGATATTGACATGGTGGTGATAATGACTGCAATTATTATTATTATGATGATGGCGGTGATGATGTTGATAATCGTAACCACGGTGACGGTGCTAACCACGATGACGGTGCTGGTGGTGACCATGGTGATTATGACGATCGTCTTGGTTTTGACGATGGTGTTGATATCCGCGACGATGGTGACGGTGTTGGTGATGATGTAGGAGCTGCGGGACAGGAACGATGAGTTGGAGGCTGAGCTGGAATCGGTGCGCAGAGCAGCACAGAGACAACACAGCGTCCACTCTGGTAAGGGCACCCCCCCCCCCGCATCCCCCATCCCCCCGCCCCTCCGCCCACCTCCCCGTACCCCCCCCCCGTACCCCCCCCTGTACCTCCCTGCACCTCCCCGTACCTGGCCATACCTCCCAGTACCTCATGCACCTCCCCGTACCCCACTCCCGTACCTCCCAGCACCTCCCTGTACCATTAACAGCACCTGTGGTGAGAGTTGGTGAGGATTCTGCGTGTGTGCACGTACGTGTGCGTGTGTGTGTTGACTCAGCCTCAAATGAGTACCTGGTGCGGCGTGTTGTGAACATCGCCACTGGGGAGACAAAGGCGGCCGGGCGTGGTGCTGGCCACCCACCCCCTCGTGTGCCGTGCCGGCCTTCATAGGTGCTGCTCGCTAACAGCACTTTCCCCAACAGTCTGTTGAGGCTACACGGGGGATCTTTGTCTTTGTGCAGACACCTCGGAGGTGGGAGACAGGAAGCCACCTGAGACACGGGGAAAAACCCTCAACGGCACGCACAGCAGTAAGGGCAATCACCATCATATCATCAGCAGCAGCATCATCAGCAGCAGCATCAGCAGCATCATTTTCACAACATCAGCAGCAGCAGCACCCACCCCTTAAACTTCACCACCGTCCTCGTCATCTTCATAGCATCTGGCAGCGTTCACTTGCGTCGAACAACTAAACTCGCACGAATTGCTACCTTCGTCCTCAACGTCGTCACCTTACTACGTCGTCATCAGCATCGTCATCGTCGTCATGCGTGCACGTGTTCGCGCGTGTTGTCGGCCACCCACCCCCTCGTGTGCCGTGCCGGCCTTCATAGGTGCTGCTCGCAAATAGCACTTGCCCCGACGGTCTGTTCGGGCTATAGGGGGGATTTTTTGTTTTTTCTCGCGGCAGGCCCTGGCTCACCTAGACCGAGCCTGCCGCTGGAGGCCGAGATGGCGATGGAGCGGCTGAGGCAGCGACACCAGGAGGAGGTGCAGGACCTGAGGATCAAGCTGGAAACCAAGGTGAGCGTCTCCACGGAAACGATCACCGGTGGCGACCGTTGGCAGGGACCCTCGTGGCAGACGGGAGGGGGCGGGGGATTTCCGAATCTGACAAATGTGATGGGCCCTCTTGTAGGTCCGCTCAGACTGAAATGAGCAGCCGCTCATGGCAAGTCGGAGTGGAGCCGTTTGCGTGCTCAATGAGCATGCAGCGGCAATAACTTCCCGATTTTAACGGTCTGTGATTGGACGGAATCTGTCACATGTGGCTTATTTCATGCTTCCCGAATGTAACTGTGTTGTCGATTATGGGTATTGTTAACGACGATGATGATGATAATGACAATGATGATGATGACCACGACAACGATGATGATGACAACGATTATGACGATGATGACAACGATGATGATGATGATGACGATGACGACGACGACGATCATGACGATGACGACCGCAGACCAACTACTACGAGCGCGAGCTGGAGCGCGTGCAACGCGGTGCGGAGGAGTTGCGGCGCAGCGTGGAGCAGAGCTTCAAGCTGGAGCTGAGCGACCTGGAGGAGCAGCTCTGCCAGAGGGACTCGGACCTCCGCGACGGGGACCTCCGCCACAGGGACGCTTGGCAGCGGGAGGCGGCGCGCAGAGACGGCCTGGAGGCGGAGCTCCGCGAGGAGACCAAGAAGATGAGGTTGGTAGATGGCGTCGTGCGGGCGGGGAGGGTGTTGCGTTACCACCGAGTCAGGCTGTGCCTCTTCTTCTGCTTCTTTTCGCTCCGTACGGCCGCTGATGTAGACGCAGAGCAGCAACAACTACCGTCTCACGTGCCGGTGGTCAAGCCAGCAGACAGCCGTGTCAGGAGCAGCGGGGTATCGTTGCTGTGATGTCTCCTTCGTATTTGTGTATCGGGCATTGCGTTGTTATACGTTATATGGACTTCAGTGTTGAGTCTATGGGCAGTGTTGAGTCTATGCGGAGTGTTGAGTCTGTGGGTAGTGTTGAGTCTATGTGTAGTGTTGAGTCTGTGGGTAGTGTTGAGTCTAAGAGCAGTGCTGAGTCTGTGGGCAGTGTTGAGTCTATGGGCAGTGTTGAGTCTGTGGGCAGTGTTGAGTCTATGGGCAGTGTATAGTCTATGGGTAGTGTTGAGTCCATGGGCAGTGTTGAGTCTATGGGTAGTGTTGAGTCTATGGGTAGTGTTGAGTCTGTGGGCAGTGTTGAGTCTGTGGGTAGTTTAACACGTAGAGTTTCGCGACCAATATTTTTCATAATAAAAGTGTTGAGTCTGTGGGCAGTGCTCAATCTCTGGACTTCAGTGCGGAGTCTATCTTCTTCTTCCATACAGCTGATGTGGATGCATAGCAGCAGCTACATTGTCACATTCAGGTGGTCAAGCCAACAGACAGCCACATCAGGAGCAGCGGGAGTAGTCTATCATCATCGCTGTGACGTCTCCTTCGTGTTTGCGGATCGGGGCATCGCGTCGCTGTACGTTGTTACGCTCCATTCTGGATGGTGCTGCCCGATAGTCTTTAGTTTTTTTTTCCCGTTGTCATTAAGGAAGATGTAAACTTGTGTCAGACAGCCCCGGTGCGTATACACACACACACATGCACGTAAATAGTCTGCATCTACAAGAGCCGTACGCGTATTTGTGGCCTGTCCCTTTAACAGCTTTAAGCGAGAAGGGAGCTGCTGTGGTGGACTCGGAGGTCGCCGGTTCAAACGGCCGCCACAGACGATCGGCAGATCACAAGTAGCGGTGGGAAAAAGTGTGGGTACTCCCACCTCTGCCGTGATATCTGTAGAAGATTTGTCCACTTTCGGTGCGATCTCCCTTCCGAGCAAGCGATTGCAGGGGGCTGCGCCTTTGCCTTTGCTGTGAAGGTCAAGGGGTCGAGGGGGGCGGTCGCTGATGCTGGTTTTGTGGTCACAGGGCACGGCTGGAGGCCGCGACCTCTGACCTCTCGGAGCTGCGGGCCCAGACAGGGGCAGCGCAGGAACTACAGGTGCAGGCGAGACCCCTCGCCCTCGTCACCCTCACCTCGTCAGCCTCACCTCATCGCCCTCACCTCATCGCCCTCACCTCCTCACCCTTACCTCCTCGCCCTCGTCTCATTATACTCGCCTCATTCTCATCTCATTCACCTCATCGCCCATTACCCTCACCTCATCTCCATCTCGTCTCCCCCCCCTCCTCCTCACCCTCACCCCACCACCGTCAACTCGTCACTCTCACCTCCTCACCCTGCCGCCCGCACTTCGTTAACCTCACCTGCTCACCGTCGCCGACGACCTCGCCTCGTCAACATCGTCCATCGCCCAGCCGCCCTCAACCTCGTCAAGATCAACCCTCACTCAGTCGTCCTCAACTCATCGCCACAACCTCGTCACCCTCCCTCACCTCTTCACTTCACCGCGTTATCATCACGCTCACTTTGTTATCCACTCGCCGTTCCTCACCTCTGTCTCCTCACCTCCTCTCCCTCACCTCCTTCACCATCCCCCACCTCGTCAGTCTCACCTCGTGCTTGTCCCGTCGTCACCGCGTTCCGCTCGTGCAGGTGCAGCAGGAAAGCACGCAGAGACAGTCGCTTGAGACGGGGCTCCGCGAGAGGACCAAGCAGGCTGCAGAGCTGGAGTCGGAGCTCTGCGAAAGGGCCCAGAGGGTCGTTGGGCTGGAGGCGGAGCTCCACGAGAAGGCCCAGCAGGTTAGCAGGCTCGAGGTGGAGCTCCGTAAGGAAGCCCAGTGCCTGGACAGACTGAAGGAAGAACTCCGTGAAGGGGCTCGGCAGGCCAGTGGCTTGGAGGTGGAGCTCCGCGACAGGGCCCAGAGGATTGTTGGGCTCGAGACGGAGCTACGCGAAAAGTCTCAGTATGTTGTCGGCCTGGAGGCGGAGCTCCGTGACAGGGCCCAGCAAGTCGCAGGGCTGGAGGCGGAGCTCCACGGGAGGGGAGAGGTGGTGTCTGGCCTCACGGCGGAGGTGGACAGGCTGAAGCAAGAGAACGAGGAGCTGGTGACGGAGCGGCATGCGCTCCGCACGGAGGTGCGTTGTGACGGGGCTGTGTGTCCGTGCGTGGGCGGGCGGGTGTGGGGAGTGGCGGTGCAACGGTTAGCGCATCGCGCTACAATCTCGGCAACCCGAGTTTGAGTCGCACTCACGGCCAACGTCGGTGACGAGTTTCTGAACTGGTCCTGGGCCCTCCTCTAGGTCGGCTCAGCCTTAAATGATTACCTGGTGCGGTATGGATCAGACGAGTGGGCTGCAGGTTGTGAAGAGGGAGCTGTTGCTAACGATGACGACGACGATGACACTGATGATGATGATGATGTCAGACGAGCGGGCTGCAGGCAACGAAGAGGGAGCTGGCGTCTCTGCAGGAGGAGAGGAGTCTCCTCCTAGAACAAAACCAAGCGGTGCTCTCACGCCTGGGGTCACTGCAACACAAGGTGATCCACTACTTCCTCCACGAGTCTGTGGGTCTTCGTGCGAGTCTGTGGGTCTATGTGCGAGTCTGTGGGTCTCCGTGCGAGTCTGTGGGTCTCCATGCGAGTCTGTGGGTCTTCGTGCGAGTATGTGGGTCTCTATGCGAGTCTGTGGGTCTTCTTGCGAGTCTGTGGGTCTCCATTGCGAGTCTGTGGGTCTCCGTGCGAATCTGTGGGTCTATATGCGAGTCTGTGGGTCTTCGTGCGAGTCTGTGGGTCTCCATGCGAGTTTATGGATCTCCGTGCGAGTCTGTCGGTCTCCGTGCGAGTCTGTGGGTCTCTGTGCGAGTCTGTGGGTCTTCGTGCGAGTATGTGGGTCTCTATGCGAGTCTGTGGGTCTCCATGCAAGTCTGTGGGTCTCCGTGCGTGTTTGTGGGTCTCTGTGTGAGTCTGTGGGTCTCCGTGCAAGTCTGTGGGTCTCCGTGCGAGTCTGTGGGTCTCTGTGTGAGTCTGTGGGTCTCTATGTGAGCCTGTGGGTCTCTGTGTGAGTCTGTGGGTTTCCGTGCGAGTCTGTGGGTCTCTGCGAATCTGTTGGTCTGCATGCGAGTCTGTGGGTCTCTGTGCGAGTCTGTGGATCTCCGTGCTAGTCTGTGGGTCTCCGTTCGAGTCTGTGGGTCTCTGTGATTCTGTGGGTCTCTATGCGAGTCTGTGGGTCTCTGTGCGAGTCTGTGGGTCTCTGTGCGAGTCTGTGGGTCTCTGTGCGATTCTGTGGGTCTTCGTACGAGTCTGTGAATCTCTATGCGAGTCTGTGGATCTCCGTGTGAGTTTGTGTGTCTCTATGCGAGTCTGTGGGTCTCTGTGTGAGTCTGTGGGTCTCTGTGTGAGTCTGTGGGTTTCCGTGCGAGTCTGTGGGTCTCTGCGAATCTGTTGGTCTCCATGCGAGTCTGTGGGTCTCTGTGTGAGTCTGTGGGTCTCTGTGATTCTGTGGGTCTCTATGCGAGTCTGTGGGTCTCTGTGCGAGTCTGTGGGTCTCTGTGATTCTGTGGGTCTTTGTACGAGTCTGTGAATCTCTATGCGAGTCTGTGGATCTCCGTGTGAGTTTGTGTGTCTCTATGCGAGTCTGTGGGTCTCTGTGCGAGTCTATGAGTGGGGTCATGTTGTACTACCCTCTCTGTGACCCCCGCCTCCCATTCCGCAGACCCTCTCCACAGAGGGCTCTCTCCGTAGCCGCGACCTGGAGCTGGCGCGCCTGCAAACGGAGCTCCGCCGCGGGGCCCAGGACAAGGAGGGCCTCACGGCGGAGGTCGCGACGCTCCGCGAGGAGGCCGCGGCGCTGGGCGGCGAGGTCGCGACTCTGAGGCGGCAGCTGCGCTCGGCCGAGGAGCAGGCTGAGCGGTGTCCGCAGCTGCAGCAGGAGCTGAAGATGCTGCGGGCGGAGAGGGAAGCGCTCACACAGGACTCACAGGAGGCACGCGACAAGGTGAGAGCCCAGCTAGCCGGGTGACATCCCGCTCACTGGGCTAGCCGGGTGACATGTCACTCACTGGGCTAGCTGGGTGACGTGTCACTCACTGGGCTAGCCAGGTGACGTGTCACTCACTGGGCTAGCCGGGTGACGTGTCGCTCACTGGGTTAGCCAGGTGACGTGTCGCTCACTGGGCTAGCCGGGTGACATCCCGCTCACTGGGCTAGCCGGGTGACGTGTCACTCACTGGGCTAGCCGGGTGACATGTCACTCACTGGGTTAGCCGGGTGACGTGTCACTCGCTGGGTTAGCCGGGTGACGTGTCACTCGCTGGGCTAGCCGGATGACGTGTCGCTCACTGGGATAGCTGGGTGACGTGTCACTCGCTGGGCTAGCCGGGTGACGTGTCGCTCACTGGGTTAGCTGGGTGACGTGTCACTCACTGGGTTAGCTGGGTGACGTGTCACTCACTGGGCTAGCCGGGTGACGTGTCACTCACTGGGCTAGCCGGGTGACGTGTCGCTCACTGGGTTAGCTGGGTGACGTGTCACTCGCTGGGTTAACTGGGTGATGTGTCACTCACTGGGCTAGCCAGGTGACGTGTCACTCGCTGGGTTAGCCGGGTGACGTGTCGCTCACTGGGTTAGCTGGGTGACGTGTCGCTCACTGGGTTAGCCGGGTGACGTGTCACTCACTGGGCTAGTCGGGTGACGTGTCACTCACTGGGCTAGCCAGGTGACGTGTCACTCACTGGGCTAGCCAGGTGACGTATCACTCACTTGTCTAGCCGGGTGACGTGTCACTCACTGGGCTAGTCGGGTGACGTGTCACTCACTGGGCTAGTTGGGTGACGTGTCACTCACTGGGCTAGCCAGGTGACGTGTCACTCACTGGGCTAGCCAGGTGACGTGTCACTCACTGGGCTAGCCAGGTGACGTGTCACTCGCTGGGTTAGCCGGGTGACGTGTCACTCACTGGGCTAGCCAGATGACATGTCACTCACTGGGCTAGTCAGGTGACGTGTCACTCGCTGGGCTAGCTGGGTGACATGTCACTCACTGGGTTAGCCGGGTGACGTGTCACTCACTGGGCTAGTCGGGTGACGTGTCACTCACTGGGTTAGCCGGGTGACATGTCACTCGCTGGGCTAGCCAGGTGACGTGTCACTCACTGGGCTAGCCAGGTGACGTGTCACTCACTGGGCTAGCCGAGTGACGTGTCACTCACTGGGCTAGCCGAGTGACGTGTCACTCACTGGGCTAGCTGGGTACTCACTAACTGCACTTGCGCCCAACAGTCTGAAGGCTCCACAGGGGATCCTTTGTCGTTGCGTACATACTCGGTTACCTGTGTGTGCTGTGTGTGTGTGCTGTGTGTGCTGTGTGTGTGCTGTGTGTGTGCTGTGTGTGTGTGCTGTGTGTGTGTGCTGTGTGTGCTGTGTGTGTGTGCATGCTGTGTGTGTGTGCTGTGTGTGTGCTGTGTGTGTGTGCTGTGTGTGTGCTGTGTGTGCTGTGTGTGTGCTGTGTGTGTGCTGTGTGTGCTGTGTGTGTGCTGTGTGTGTGCTGTGTGTGCTGTGTGTGTGTGTGCTGTGCGTGTGCTGTGTGTGCGTGCGCTGTGTGCGTGCGCTGTGCTACAGATCCTGGAGCTGAATGCCGAGCTGTGCCTGGCTCAGTCCCAGCACCAGAGGGAGCTGCAGCGAGTGCGAGCGGACGCGCAGGGGAGAGCTGAGGAGCTGCACGGGGAGAGGGCGGGCGAGAGGGGGGGGGCCGACGGGGCGAGGGAGAGGGCGGCGGCGGCGGTGGCGGCAGCGGAGGGCGACTTGAGGGCCGAGTTCCAGAAAATCGTCGCCACGCAGCAGGTGTGCGACGACGCTCCACCGGTGCGGCCGCACACACGAGGGTCCGCGCGTGTGCGGGCGTCCGCTTGTATGTTCGCGTGCGTGTCCGTGCGTGTCCGTGCGTGTCCGTGTGTGTGTCCGTGTCCGTGTGTGTCCGTGCGTGTCCGCGCGTGTCCGTGCGTGTCCGTGTGTGCATGTGTGCGTGTCCGCGCGTGTCTGTGTGCGCGTGTGGTGCATCGGCCCAGTCATCTCAGTCAGTCGACCCGTGGCACCTGCCTGGGTCTGTCCCGTGACCTCCTGCCGGCGGGCGTCCGATGCTTCACGTGCCCTCAACGTGCACGTAGCCTGGCACAAGTGCCGTGGTGACGTTGCCGCCACTTAGTTGCGAATGGCGGTTGTTGTTGTTGTTGTTGTTGTCCTCGTTGTTTGTGGGTGCGTAGGAGGAGCACACTGTGGCTCTGCGTGTGATAGAGCAGAAGCTGCAGGAAGTGGAGGTGAACCTGAGGAACGTGCGCGGCGTGCTACAGGAGAAGGTGCAGCAGCTCAAGGAGCAGGTGAAGTGGGCCTCGCCACGCGCTGCACTCACCCCTAGCTAACTACACACCACTAGCCACACACCACTAACTACACACCACTAACTACACACCCCTAGCTAACTACACACCACTAACTTCACACCACTAGCTAACTACACACCACTAACTACACACCCCTAGCTAACTACACACCACTAACTACACACCCCTAGCTAACTACACACCACTAGCCACACACCCCTAGCTAACTACACACCACTAACTACACACCCCTAGCTAACTGCACACCACTAACTACACACCCCTAGCTAACTACACACCCCTAACTACACACCACTAACTACACACCACTAACTTCACACCACTAGCTAACTACACACCACTAACTACACACCCCTAGCTAACTACACACCACTAACTACACACCCCTAGCTAACTACACACCACTAGCCACACACCCCTAGCTAACTACACACCACTAACTACACACCCCTAGCTAACTACACACCACTAACTACACACCCCTAGCTAACTGCACACCACTAACTACACACCCCTAGCTAACTACACACCACTAACTAACTACACACCACTAACTACACACCCCTAGCTAACTACACACCACTAACTACACACCCCTAGCTAACTACACACCACTAGCTAACTACACACCACTAACTACACACCACTAGCTAACTACACACCACTAGCTAACTACACACCACTAACTACACACCCCTAGCTAACTACACACCCCTAGCTAACTACACACCACTAACTACACACCACTAACTACACACCACTAACTACACCACTAACTACACACCCCTAGCTAACTACACACCACTAACTTCACACCACTAGCTAACTACACACCACTAACTACACACCCCTAGCTAACTACACACCACTAACTACACACCCCTAGCTAACTACACACCACTAGCCACACACCCCTAGCTAACTACACACCACTAACTACACACCCCTAGCTAACTACACACCACTAACTACACACCCCTAGCTAACTGCACACCACTAACTACACACCCCTAGCTAACTACACACCACTAACTAACTACACACCACTAACTACACACCCCTAGCTAACTACACACCACTAACTACACACCCCTAGCTAACTACACACCACTAGCTAACTACACACCACTAACTACACACCACTAGCTAACTACACACCACTAGCTAACTACACACCACTAACTACACACCCCTAGCTAACTACACACCCCTAGCTAACTACACACCACTAACTACACACCACTAACTACACACCACTAACTACACACCACTAACTACACACCACTAACTACACACCCCTAGCTAACTACACACCACTAACTACACACCCCTAGCTACACACCACTAGCTACACACCACTAGCCACACACCACTAGCTACACACCACTAGCTACACACCACTAGCTACACACCACTAACTACACACCCCTAGCTAACTACACACCACTAACTACACACCCCTAGCTAACTACACACCACTAACTACACACCCCTAGCTAACTACACACCACTAACTACACACCCCTAGCTACACACCACTAGCTACACACCACTAGCCACACACCACTAGCTACACACCACTAGCTACACACCACTAGCCACACACCACTAACTACACACCACTAGCTACACACCACTAGCCACACACCACTAACTACACACCATTAACTACACACCACTAACTACACACCCCTAGCTACACACCACTAGCTACACACCACTAGCCACACACCACTAGCTACACACCACTAGCTACACACCACTAGCCACACACCACTAACTACACACCACTAGCTACACACCACTAGCCACACACCACTAACTACACACCACTAGCTACACACCACTAGCCACACACCACTAACTACACACCACTAACTACACACCACTAACTACACACCACTAACTACACACCACTAGCCACACACCACTAGCCACACACCACTAACTACACACCACTAACTACACACCACTAGCTAACTACACACCACTAACTACACACCACTAACTACACACCACTAGCTAACTACACACCACTAACTACACACCACTAGCTAACTACACACCACTAACTACACACCCCTAGCTAACTACACACCACTAACTACACACCACTAACTACACACCACTAACTAGCTACACACCACTAACTACACACCACTAACTACACACCACTAACTACACACCACTAACTTGCTACACACCACTAACTACACACCACTAACTACACACCACTAACTACACACCACTAGCTACACACCTCTAACTACACACCACTAACTACACACCACTAGCTAACTACACACCCCTAGCTAACTACACACCACTAACTACACACCCCTAGCTACACACCCCTAGCTACACACCCCTAGCTAACTACACACCACTAACTACACACCACTAACTACACACCCCTAGCTACACACCACTAACTACACACCCCTAGCTAACTACACACCCCTAGCTAACTACACACCACTAACTACACACCCCTAGCTACACACCCCTAGCTACACACCCCTAGCTAACTACACACCCCTAGCTAACTACACACCACTAACTACACACCACTAACTACACACCCCTAGCTACACACCCCTAGCTACACACCCCTAGCTAACTACACACCACTAACTACACACCCCTAGCTAACTACACACCACTAGCCACACACCCCTAGCTAACTACACACCACTAACTACACACCCCTAGCTAACTACACACCGCTAACTACACACCCCTAGCTAACTGCACACCACTAACTACACACCCCTAGCTAACTACACACCACTAACTAACTACACACCACTAACTACACACCCCTAGCTAACTACACACCACTAACTACACACCCCTAGCTAACTACACACCACTAGCTAACTACACACCACTAACTACACACCACTAGCTAACTACACACCACTAGCTAACTACACACCACTAACTACACACCCCTAGCTAACTACACACCCCTAGCTAACTACACACCACTAACTACACACCACTAACTACACACCACTAACTACACACCACTAACTACACACCACTAACTACACACCCCTAGCTAACTACACACCACTAACTTCACACCACTAGCTAACTACACACCACTAACTACACACCCCTAGCTAACTACACACCATTAACTACACACCCCTAGCTAACTACACACCACTAGCCACACACCCCTAGCTAACTACACACCACTAACTACACACCCCTAGCTAACTACACACCACTAACTACACACCCCTAGCTAACTGCACACCACTAACTACACACCCCTAGCTAACTACACACCACTAACTAACTACACACCACTAACTACACACCCCTAGCTAACTACACACCACTAACTACACACCCCTAGCTAACTACACACCACTAGCTAACTACACACCACTAACTACACACCACTAGCTAACTACACACCACTAGCTAACTACACACCACTAACTACACACCCCTAGCTAACTACACACCCCTAGCTAACTACACACCACTAACTACACACCACTAACTACACACCACTAACTACACACCACTAACTACACACCACTAACTACACACCCCTAGCTAACTACACACCACTAACTACACACCCCTAGCTACACACCACTAGCTACACACCACTAGCCACACACCACTAGCTACACACCACTAGCTACACACCACTAGCTACACACCACTAACTACACACCCCTAGCTAACTACACACCACTAACTACACACCCCTAGCTAACTACACACCACTAACTACACACCCCTAGCTAACTACACACCACTAACTACACACCCCTAGCTACACACCACTAGCTACACACCACTAGCCACACACCACTAGCTACACACCACTAGCTACACACCACTAGCCACACACCACTAACTACACACCACTAGCTACACACCACTAGCCACACACCACTAACTACACACCACTAACTACACACCACTAACTACACACCCCTAGCTACACACCACTAGCTACACACCACTAGCCACACACCACTAGCTACACACCACTAGCTACACACCACTAGCCACACACCACTAACTACACACCACTAGCTACACACCACTAGCCACACACCACTAACTACACACCACTAGCTACACACCACTAGCCACACACCACTAACTACACACCACTAACTACACACCACTAACTACACACCACTAACTACACACCACTAGCCACACACCACTAGCCACACACCACTAACTACACACCACTAACTACACACCACTATCTAACTACACACCACTAACTACACACCACTAACTACACACCACTAGCTAACTACACACCACTAACTACACACCACTAGCTAACTACACACCACTAACTACACACCCCTAGCTAACTACACACCACTAACTACACACCACTAACTACACACCCCTAGCTACACACCCCTAGCTACACACCCCTAGCTAACTACACACCCCTAGCTAACTACACACCACTAACTACACACCCCTAGCTACACACCACTAGCCACACACCACTAACTACACACCCCTAGCTAACTACACACCACTAACTTGCTACACACCACTAGCCACACACCACTAACTACACACCACTAGCTACACACCACTAACCACACACCACTAACTACACACCACTAGCTATACACCACTAACTACACACCACTAGCTACACACCACTAACTACACACCACTAACTACACACCACTAGCTACACACCACTAACCACACACCACTAGCCACACACCCCTAGCTAACTACACACCACTAACTTGCTACACACCACTAGCCACACACCCCTAGCTAACTACACACCACTAACTACACACCACTAACTACACACCCCTAGCTAACTACACACCCCTAGCTAACTACACACCACTAACTACACACCCCTAGCTAACTACACACCACTAACTACACACCACTAACTACACACCACTAACTACACACCACTAACTACACACCCCTAGCTAACTACACACCACTAACTTGCTACACACCACTAGCCACACACCACTAACTACACACCACTAGCTACACACCACTAACTACACACCACTAACCACACACCATTAGCCACACACCACTAACTACACACCATTAACTACACACCACTAGCTACACACCACTAGTTACACACCACTAACTACACACCACTAGCTACACACCACTAACTACAAACCACTAGTTACACACCACTAGCTAGACACCACTAGCTACACACCACTAACTACACACCACTAACTACACACCACTAGCTAGACACCACTAACTACACACCACTAGCTAGCTACACACCACTAACTACACACCACTAACTAGCCACACACCACTAACTACACACCACTAACTACACACCACTAACTACACACCACTAGGTACACACCACTAACTACACACCACTAACTACACACCACTAACTACACACCACTAGCCACACACCACTAACTAGACACCACTAACTACAGACCACTAACTACACACCACTAACTACACACCACTAGGTACACACCACTAACTACACACCACTAACTACACACCACTAACTACACACCACTAACTATACACCACTAACTAGCTACACACAACTAACTACACACCACTAACTACACACCACTAACTACACACCACTACCTACACACCACTAGCTACACGCCGTTAACTACACACCACTAACTACACACCACTAGCTACACACCACTAACTAACTACACACCACTAGCTAACTACACACCACTAGCTACACACCACTAACTAACTACACACCACTAGCTACACACCACTAGCTAGACACCACTAACTAGTTACACACCACTACCTACACACCACTACCTACACACCACTAACTACACACCACTAACTACACACCACTAACTACACACCACTAACTACACACCACTAGCTAACTACACACCACTAGCTACACACCACTAACTACCTACACACCACTAGCTACACACCACTAACTACACACCACTAACTAGTTACACACCACTAACTAGCTACACGCCACTAGCTAACTACACACCACTAGCTACACACCACTAACTAACTACACACCACTAGCTAGCTACACACCACTAACTACACACCACTAACTAGTTACACACCACTAACTAGCTACACGCCACTAGCTAACTACACACCACTAGCTACACACCACTAACTAACTACACACCACTAACTAACTACACACCACTAACTAACTACACTCCACTAACTAACTACACACCACTAGCTACACACCACTAACTAACTACACACCACTAACTAACTACACACCACTAACTAACTACACACCACTAACTAACTACACACCACTCGCTACACACCACTAACTAGTTACACGCCACTAACTAGTTACACACCACTAACTAACTACACACCACTAACTACACACCACTAACTAGCTACACACCACTAACTAGCTACACACCACTAACTAACTACACACCACTAACTAGTTACACACCACTAACTAGCTACACACCACTAACTAGTTACACACCACTAACTAACTACACACCACTAACTACACACCACTAACTAGCTACACACCACTAACGACACACCACTAACTAGTTACACACCACTAACTACACACCACTAACTACACACCACTAACTAGTTACACACCACTAACTAACTACACACCACTAACTACACACCACTAACTACACACCACTAACTAGCTACACACCACTAACTACACACCACTAACTAGCTACACACCACTAACTACACACCACTAACTAGCTACACACCACTAACTACACACCACTAACTACACACCACTAACTACACACCACTAACTAGTTACACACCACTAACTAGCTACACGCCACTAGCTACACACCACTAACTAGTTACACACCACTAACTAGCTACACACCACTAGCTACACCCCACTAACTAGCTACACACCACTAACTACACACCACTAACTAGCTACACACCACTAACTACACGCCACTAACTACACACCACTAGCTACACACCACTAGCTACACACCACTAACTACACACCACTAACTACACACCACTAACTAGCTACACGCCACTGGTTACACGCCGCTAACTAGTTACACACCACTAACTACACACCACTAGCTACACACCACTAGCTACACACCACTAACTACACACCACTAGCTACACCCCACTAACTAGCTACACGCCACTAGCTACACACCACTAACTAGTTACACACCACTAACTAGTTACACACCACTAACTACACACCACTAGCTACACACCACTAACTAGTTACACACCACTAACTAGCTACACCCCACTAACTAGCTACACGCCACTGGTTACACACCACTAACTAACTACACCCCACTAACTAGTTACACACCACTAACTAGCTACACACCACTAACTAGCTACACGCCACTGGTTACACGCCGCTAACCACACGCCCCACGTCACAGATGGTCCGCGCGTCGCGCTCTGACGCGGCGCTGCGGGAGCTCTACGTGGAGAACGCGGCGCTGTCGCGCCTCGTCGCCCACACCGAGGGCCAGCGCAGCTCGGCGGCGCAGCGCGAGCACCGCCTGCAGGAGCGCCTGGGGGCGCTGCACCGCGTGCTGCGCCGCGTGGCGCCCGCGTCGCTCTCCGCCGCGTGACCGGCGGGGGGGGCGGGGGCGGGGCGGGGGCGGGGTGACGGGGGAGGAGGTGGGGGAGAAAGGTACGGGGGAGAGGGAGTGAGATTGAGAGAGGGAGGGAGGGAGGGAGATTGAGAGAGGGAGTGAGATTGAGAGAGGGAGGGAGGGAGATTGAGAGAGGGAGTGAGATTGAGAGAGGGAGGGAGTGAGTGAGATTGAGAGAGGGAAGGAGATTGAGAGAGGGAGGGATGGAGATTGAGAGAGGGAGGGAGGGAGATTGAGAGAGGGAAGGAGATTGAGAGAGGGAGGGAGTTAGTGAGATTGAGAGAGGGAGGGAGATTGAGAGAGGGAGGGATGGAGATTGAGAGAGGGAGGGAGATTGAGAGAGGGAAGGAGATTGAGAGAGGGAGGGAGGGAGTGAGATTGAGAGAGGGAGGGAGATTGAGAGAGGGAGGGATGGAGATTGAGAGAGGGAGGGAGGGAGATTGAGAGAGGGAAGGAGATTGAGAGAGGGAGGGAGGGAGATTGAGAGAGGAAGGGAGTGAGTGAGATTGAGAGAGGGAGGGAGGGAGATTGAGAGAGGGCTAAGGAGATTGAGAGAGGGAGGGAGGGAGATTGAGAGAGGGAAGGAGATTGAGAGAGGGAGGGAGGGAGATTGAGAGAGGGAGGGAGGGAGATTGAGAGAGGGAAGGAGATGGAGAGAGATGGACTGAACACTAACCTGAACCCCTCTACCTTACCCCACACCTAACACGCTAACCCTAGCCCTAACCCGAGATCTAACGCAGCCCCTCAAACTTCCCCCTAGACTTAACACCAACGTGAGCCCCTGTACCTCACCCAAACACTCCGTCATGGTCGTCACCACGATCCATGGGCAGATAGCCCACAGGTGTCCACTGAACATTTCACCGTTTGTTCCCGCTCGCCTCCGCTGTCGACACGAAACCCTAACCGTGGCCCGAACCCTCATCCTCGGCCCTCGAGCCCCTAACCCCCTGTCCCTAAACCCTAACCCCGGTTTAAACTCCCAAACCCCTAGCGCCGGGGGTGTTTGTTGGCCGCGCGTGATGCAGTATTTAAAGCAATCGTTTCCAAAGAGTCGGAGCTGGGCGTGACCCCGGCTCCGGGCAGTGCATCCCTGTTTGCGGGGTTCGCGAGCCCCAGTAAGCACAGTCAGTGCTGATTGTGTTGTTTTTATTTAGTGTTCTCGTGCAACTCCGCGTGACTACGAAATGAACATTCGTTGTCGACGACGACGACGACGACGACGTCACAACCCGACAGGCGCTGCTGGCGCCGTTCCGCTTGTGCCCTAGCCGACCGCGCTACGTCGCAGGTTGTGGGGCGTTGGGAGAACAAACTGAACACAGAAAAAAAGGCGCTTCTTAACGAATGAGTTTTCAATCGTGATGAATTAAAAGTGCACGGCTCTCGGTGGCTTCCTCACGTCGGAAGGACTCTGAGACCCACGGACACCCATCGAGGCCCATACCCAACATTTTACGTACGTTGAACTTCTTTCGCACCGTACGTAGCCAACCGTGTCTAATCGGAGGTGCGGGGGGCTGAACGACAACAAACTAAACACAAAAATCGGTTCTAAAGAGATGAGTTTGTCAATCTCGATGGACGATGATCATTTAAAAGTGCCATAGCGCCCAGTGGCATCCTAATATCGGTAAGGGGAAGAGCGTTCCAGACGGCCGCGGAGGCAGCGCATCCGAAAGCGCCGCGCGATGCGGCGGTGACCGCCGCCTTTGTTTTCAATGGCGTCGCGGGAAGCCGCCGTGGAGGATGAGCGGAGGTTAGCGTGACGGTTACTCCGGGCGCCGCAGGTTCCTCGCACGTCTACGAAAGCGGCGCTCGCCTTGACGGCGCCGGTTCCAGGCCGACTTCCCGCTCACCCGTGGCCGTATCCCACAATGCACCAGCACGCGGTGACTCGCGGTGCGACAGCGCGCGGTGACCGAATCAGAATATCGGAATCTGTGTTTATACAATGGGTGAGGAATCCGATGAGCTAGGAAGCTCTTTTTTTTCTACAGATGTCCAGGTAGGGGCACGGGGTAAGAACGTTACAACAACAAACGTTGACACACAAACACGGCAGTAGCGCAAAGTACAAGGCAGGTCAACAAATCACCCAGACACAAACATACAAAACACTCAACCATCCCCATCGTACCAGGCAAAGCCCACTGAGCTATTAATTTATTTTTCAGCAGCGACCTGGCCACCACAAATGACAGCCCAGCAAAGTGGCCCCCATCATTTGGACATTCGTGGCGGCAAAAATAATGTAAACAATCTCAATGCCGCGGTGCCGGATCCCACAATGCACCACGTGCGGCGGTTTTAGTGATTTATTCATCACGTGAATGAAACTTGGAACCGTTTTTGCGGTACGGCATGTTCTATAACACGGTAGTAGCTGTGTTCCTGAAGAACATCGCGTTGTGGGAAAATCTCGTTATCATAATGTACAGTATCGGGTAAAGCGCAGTCCGCGATAACACGTGAGATGCGTACGCAGGCTGAACAAAGATTGAGGCGCGCGGGGGTAGCCTCCTGGAAGTTATTCAGCAGCATCCCGCCCTGTGCGATCGCGTTATACCCAATCCGCATCGTCAAAACAACAGGCGGCGTCACAGGAGAACCGGGGGCTGTGTTGGACAGCCCCGAGACTGGCGCGGTACGAGGTGTCAGTCATCAAGCTGCGGGCTACGCTTTTGGGTCCTGACTTCCTGTAGAGCGTGGCCGCCACCCCCCCCCCCCAACGCACCTGAGCGGTCAGTTAGTGTAACGGTACGTCGCTCGAAAGTCCTGCTTCGTCGGTCGACGCTTGAAACGTAGCTCGCTGTGGGCAACCCAGTCGAGCGGCCGCTCGCAACCTGTTGCAGAGACGCCCGCGTGTAAGCGATTCGGTTGCATGCCAACCAAGTTTGCGTGCAACCGATTTGCCACTGCAGCGAACCGGTTGCGCAACCACATGCTACCGATGAATTGTAACCAGGTTGATTGCAACCGGTTGCGCGAGCTAATCGTTTGCACGCAACCAGGTTGCAACCGGTTGCCTGCCGTAGCAACCAAGTCGCACGCGGCAGCCGTGGGACACGCAGTTCAAGGTGCGGGTGAACAACAAGTTCCGCTGGGTGGGTTGTTGCCGAGTTGCACGCAACGCAGCGCGACCCCAGGTGTCGGGCGAGCGCGATCCGGTTCGGGTGTGGCTTTGGGCAACAAGCGTGGTCGTGAATGTCGCGTCGTCGCCGTCGTCGTCATAGTCGCCGTGTGTCACCGTTGTTATTCGCGACGCAGTATTTCGGGGTGCGGCGGACGGTGGTGGCGAGACCACCGCGGGGACCCTTCCACCGTTCTTGCCCGGTGTTCATGTTGGTAAACGTCCGTTTTGGTACCGAATTCGTTTTTATTTTTTTAAATAAAAGGTTGGTTTTGTGGTTTGCTTGTTTGAAAAAATGTTTTGTTGAACTACTAAGTCGCTGCCTGCGCCGTGCTTTTCGGGAAGTGGCCGTCAATGCGTCCGTCCAGCCAGCCAGCCAGCCAGCGAAACTTTTAATTTGCGCGGGGTAACATGGCCGGGCTGGAGAGCCTTTGTGACGTCAGCGTGACGCACGAACCCGGCTCAATGCTGTGGCGAGGGGGGGGGGGTGACGTCATCACCGTGCACGTCCCAGCCAGCCATCCAGCCAGCAAAACACGACAGCACAACTAAACCATTCCCATCCTTGATTTGAAGCTTTCGTGACTGCAGGAATCCATGCTCTTTGGTTCTTTCGGTAAAGTCACGTAGGTAGAAAAATAATAGATCACCACGTTTCGATCGACCTTTGATTTGTAATTGTCTCACCTGATGACGATTGCTTGTGTTGCGATCGAAACGTGATCTATTATTTTTATAGCTTACGTGACTTTACCGAAAGAACCAAAGAGTATGGATTCCCATCCTACCAAGGCAAAGCCCACTGAGGTATTAACTAATTAGTGAGGTGTCACGGAAACAGAATGTGCCCATTCGTGACGAGTACAGCACACACCGGTTGTGTGTTGGAGAGTAAACCCACGACGACATTTACAAATCAAGTACCGTGACGTGTACACGGTGCGTGTACTGAACGTCACAGTGCATGTGTAGTGTCGTAGGTCTCTTCTTCCTTCTCCTCGAGGCTTGTGAGTGTCCGAGTGAGTGTGTGTGAGTGTGTGTGAGTGTGTGCGAGTGTGTGCGAGTGTGCGAGTGTGCGAGTGTGCGAGTGTGGGGAGCAGTAGTGTAGCGGTTAGCGCGCTGCGCTATGAACTTGGCGACTCGGGTTCGATTCCCGCTCACGGCCAACACCAGTGACGATTATCTGAACCGGTCCCGGGCCTCCCCTAGGTCGACTCAGCCTCAAATGAGTACCTGGTGCGGTGTGTAAACATCGCCACTGGGGAGACAAAGGCGGTCGGGCGTGGTGCTGGCCACCCCCCCCCCTCGTGTACCGATCCAGCCTTCATAGGTGCTCGCTAACAGCACTTGCCCCTACAGTCTGTTAAGGCTACACGGGGGATCTTTTTTTGTCTTAGTGTGCGCGGGTGGTGGCGTGCGTCGCGCACACACTCGGTCAGAGACGAGGAAGTCACAGGAGGCACCGTCCTTCTCATTTATTGTTGTGGAGTTCACGCCACCAACTCCGGCCCCCTGTCTCTCACGACCACGCTGCCGTACGGCCCGGCCCAGACACGACCCCGTCCGCGTTGCTCCGACGGCGTCGACCGGGACAGCCAACCGCTGTCCGGCCGCGCGATGATCGGGTGAAGGTGGCGGTGGCGGCGGCGGCGACGAGTCCACTCCCAGAACCGGCAGCCCGGAGCTCCCCGCGCTCCGCTGCTTTTATTCCCCTTGGCGCGGCCTGGCTCTGCCCTAGCCACGCCTCCTCCCTTCTCGAACCCACCAGAGGCCTGGCTCCGCCCTAGCCACGCCTCCTCCCTTCTCGAACCCACCAGAGGGTTCCAGGGGCCTCCCCACG